CTGAAACATGAAAACATGAATATACGTTATATGGTTCTGCGAACAAGCCAATGATGTAATAATCAGTTGTCCAAACAAGTCGTCAAACGCTCCAATAATCATTCAGTTCACTTCTGAATCGCCTTCAAGAATCTTCAAGGAACAGGTTGAGCTTGTAATTGCTTTAGCAGGCTACCGTATGTTTCACCGTATGTTTCAAAGCTTTAAATACTATACATATAAATAAGTTATTTTACACAATATGATACAATTGCAAGGCTGACTGTTATTAACGCAACGGTTCATGGAATGATTTTTTTCCATTTGTTTTTACGTTCTTTCTCGCATTGGAACAAAGTTCATATTACATCAATTATACGAATGCATCTGAACACTCGTGTTTTTAGTCGACAGTCAAAAGACTTTTCTTTTTGAAACTTTGATCTTAAAAAACTTCTTTATAACGGTGATGTTAACAATTTCTTGACTTTATATATTCTATTATTTTCCTTTTATTCCAATGATGTTTCTATTTTTACCCACCTACTTTAATTTTATTTTATCACTAAACGGCGTTAGAAATATGGAATTCCAATATGGTTGTGTTCCCTCCGGTTAAATAAATAACATAGTATCTTCGCTTTTGTCGCGTAAACATCTGTCGCGGAAGTTATGTAACTGTCGTTTTATATCGTTTTCTTCTTCTCTTTATTTAGTACATGGTTCATGAAAGAAAATTGCGAAGTAATAACTGAGATATTATTGTTTTGCCTAACCTAAAGTTTTACCAATATATCTGGTCCAGCGGAACTTTTTATGTTTCCGCTACCGTACTACTGCTTAACTATAAATCGTATGATAGTTTATTTTAAAGACTTAATTATAACTAATTTTGTATTCTATTGTGATAAATGGATGCGGTAAATCTTAACGTTCCAACTTTTAGTTAGTTGTAATATGACGGACTTGGTTCCTTATATTTTATTACAACCTAAAGTGTGCCTAAAACTTGATGAGTACACAACTTTTTTAATCTAGTTTTTGATGATTACACAAGATGCAACAAACTAAACGAATTCAGTTATTTTGCCATCTAAACTCAGAAAGACAGAGTGGGAGAGGGGAGCATGTGCTATGTAAATTACCAGATAGGATATATACAAAGTAAAGTTCTCAAAGCGCCTAGCAAAGTCGTGAGGGTTAATGAGCTCGTCATCCGGGGGCAGCGGGCTGTGTCCCTCCTCGCCGGGAGTGGGACCTTACAGGTTGCCGACGCTTTAGCGGGTTGCCCGGGTGAAATTAATTTATACACGAAACGTGGCGTTCTTGCGTTGTCGCCATGGGCGAGGCTATCTGATAATTACAATATAAAAGTAGTATATCTAATGTAGTAGGCAATCTGATTGCTCTATAGTCTTAAAAGAAAACAAAGTGTTCAATTAATTTGGTTACGCATTGTTATTGCTCAAGACTCCATTTATCGTTGGACTCGTGAATATAAAGATATAGTAAAGATTACATTTAACGGTTTACTAGTGCCCGCACTTTACTTTTGTTTTATAGTTTAAGGTAAATAAAAAAGACGCCAGCGTCATAATTATTTAACAATTGTTAATTTGTAGTTTTATTCATCGTACTTTAATTTTGGTTTATCGTGTCAAACCTTCGATAGTAGTAGTGGTCTGTTCATCTTTCGTCCACGTTGAATATCTATTTATAGTTAATAATATAAAAATGTAACACAAAAAAAAGTGTAATCGTACGTGTAGAGATTAGCACTACGCAATTTTAAATTTATCTATAGTTATATCGAATTTAATTATATTGAGTATGAAAATCGCTTTTGTGTATTAAGTATTTATTATGTTAGAAATTGGCGAGTGAACTGGCGGTTCTCATTTTGTTAAGTGATTACTGCCCCAATGTATACCCGCATTTTACTAATGCTTTACCGACCTCTAAAATAAGGTCGTCTGGAGAATGTGGTAACTGGACCTCTCAATAATATTTCCTGATTCTTCAGACGAAACGGAAAAGTGTGATACTTGCACTAAGTGGAAATGAATACACTTAACGCGTGAGGGGCCTATTCATAGGAGATGGTGAATGTCTATCCAATCTGGTTTGAAACTTTAGCCTGGCCGTGGCAGGACTGAAACCATCGTGGTGCCACATCTAATTCCCATCAAATTGTTTCGTTCATCGGTCGACATTACTCCGTAAGGCACGTTAGGTGCACTTGAACGTTTGTCGGCCGTTTGCCGCTGTGACGTCACTTCCGCCTCAACGAACGAGCCGACCACTCGCCGCTCTCGTGCCCCGCGCGCCGGAACAATCGACTCGCTAACGACTGTGCGCAGGAAAGGCGACCGTATTATACGTACATTTTTTTTTAATTAAACTCCGATAAGGAAGCGGACAGATAACCCAATAACGATATTGGGTCGGCGTTTATCGGCCGCCTCGGCCCCATTAGGGGGCGGAAGCGCGTGACGCGGGGCGCGGCGCTGCCGCCACGCGATCCCCTATGGCCGTCCAAAATGTTTTAATTTACTATGCGAAAAATTGTCTGATACTAAAGAATACCGCCACCAGCTACAACACCCGATGGCTTGCTGGTGCATTGACAACCTTTAAAATACGTACCCCGGTTATCTCACGCACCAGATAAAACGTAAAATTTAATACTTATACCTCACGTCGGTCTTTTGTAAGGTCGTGGTACTTCCCAATAGAGGAACAACAGAAGCTGTTAAGTCCGGGGAAGTACCACGACGGGGTATCTGCTGTTAAGTAACTGGTATTTAAACGGGTTTTTTTTTTTAATAAATTATTGCGTTTCGTCTGGTGCATGAGGCAAGCGGGAACCCTTTTAGTGTGTGTCGATGGGCAACGTAAGTCGACAAGCAAGTCAATTCACCGGGTGAATACCGCCAACTCGGCGAACTACCTTCCTTTTCGAATTTTGAAAAAAAAAAAAGACTGATCCTCGTGAAAATAAATGATGATGAATTAAATGTCTCAGCTGTGTTATAGTCTATTCACTCTGGAAGACACTCGTAAATAGTAGGTGAATGTTTTATGTCATTCTTTTATTTCATTCAATTTCAGCACAAACACATTAGAACAAACACATGTCAAAACGACATTGTGTAATTGAGCCAAGTCCTGCGCCAGGACTTGGCTCAATTACTGTTATGTTCCAATCGAGCGTTTAATGGAAATGCGGAACGAAAAGACCCATTTTATATGACGTGTGCAATAAAAATAAACACCGTTTCATTTTTATAAAACAAGTAGTATCGCTCAAACTGGTACTTTGCATAGTCAATGGGTTCAGATTTATAAAAGACTACGTTTATCATATAAATGTGGTGAAGAAATCGTAGTTGACTGCGGAAAGTATCACCAGGTTATGTTTTTGATTGTCAATTGAGATAGTTTATTTGAGTCTTCAATTGTGTAGTGTGATATAAAATGAAATTGTACTTCTACGTCCTTGCATTGCGTAACCAGCAAATATTAAAGGCACCGTGTCTGTCAACTTTTCAAAGAGTTTAAGTGCAAGAAATATTAAATAATGAGGCTGCGATGCGACGCTTAACCTAAAAGAAATAGTCTATTAAGTACTCTAATAAAGGACTAGATCCTAAACATGGCACTTGATTGTTAGTGGTCATCGCGTGGGTGTTATTAGCCTCATGTAAGTTTTATCGAAGCCTTCAAAAATAAAACTGGACAGTAAAGCTACTGCTCTTTTAACAGTTATGTGGGACACTAAAGGTTTAGTTTTGTTCGAAAAAAAAAAATTCTTCAATGGCACGTTATGTGGCGCGCTCAAACAAAAGATCGACCGCCAGCTTAGACATTGATGTTGTTGGTGTAGTGCTATACGCGAATGCATCCAGAAATTGGACAGATTTTTACCGCTACTAGTATAGTAGTACTCCAGTAGTAGAATTGTTCTGTTCGAGAAAATTTTCCGCCTTATAAAACAGAGACTTGAACTCACGATAATAAAATAAAGCAAACCTTCTAAATGCAAAGATTTTCGTTTGCTTCATTATTTATGATATATTTATAGGTCTGGTGTCACCTAACAAAATTCGCCACGAACTTTCATAATAACATGCGTAAACCACTGTTACTATTAAATACGTATTTACATTTTTTTCGCTTTTCCCCTCGTTTCTATCTATTGTAAGACGACATCGCCAAGAACATTAACATCACGAAATAACTCTAAGGATAACAGGTTTGCAAGTTCACTGCTTAAAACACCCGTCGTCATATCTACTCCCTTTGAGAGCGATCAATCGAAATCGATGCATCGTTTTCTTTTTATCAAAAGTTGCCAAATGAGCATATGGTTCACCTGATGTTAAATGAATACCGTCGCCCATGGACCGGTTACAGATGCGTTGACAAACTTTTGAAAATTGGGCTCCGCCTACCTCACTCACCAGACGAAACGCGAAAGTATTTGTCATACTTCCACTTTACGCTGGTCTTCTGTGAGGTCGTGGTACTTACCTGGACGGGCCTGTCCATTCGTGCGACAGTCGAGGCTGCTGCGTGGCCCTACCACCGTAAGGTGGCCCAACCACCGTAAGGTGGCCCTACCACCGTCGTTTCCCTGTTTTTCAGATCTTTACCCTGACATAGTGTCGATGCACAACTATACGGCTATACAACATTTGCAGTGAGTTTAAACGTTGATTGCAGGGCCGGATTTGGAGGTCTGGAGGCCTCTTCGCCCCAAATTATTCTCCAAATGAAATGAACAATTTTTTTCAGTGTCGAGTTTTCCAATAAATAATGTATTGTGAAACAGAGTATAAATATGAAAGGAAAAGTTGTTTACTAGTGTTTACTAGTCTGAAATTGAAACTTTTTTCCGAATTCTATTGTGGGGGCCCGTTTTTGTGGAGGCCCCGGCGCTGTAACCTCGGTTGCCCTCCCCTAAATCCGGCCTTGGTTGATCGAATCCTTTGTTTATTTCTATTCTTGTCTGTCTCCAGGGAGGAGGTGCGCAACCACGCGGTGCGGTGGAACGCGCAGTTCTCCTTCGTGTGCAAGATGTGCGCGAACGCGAACACGGGAGTGCTGGAGCCGGCGCTGCTGCGGGTCTCCGTGCGCAAGGAGTGCAAAGGTGCTTTCTATCTCCCTCTCTCTATTTACGCCTACCACCACTCGGTAAGGTTTTGTGTACACATGTTCCATGCTTCCACAGCACGAGCTCTCGTCACTCCTATTAACCCTAACGTTGGAGAGATAACTAATGATATCGTCTCTATATCGAGTTAGTTTAGATAAAAAATGAAAGAGTGCGCTGGACACAAAACCCGAGTAAAGTTCAATTTTAAATTTAACGCACAAGGCTCGCCTTGACAAACCATTGTTATGAAACGATCATTATAGAGGTATATGTTTTAGTTAAAGCCCAACATTCCGTGCCAAGACTGGAGAGGTATCAGGGCTTCACATAAAACAGCCGTATAAAAAAGTATTCATATTTTGCATTTTATCTGTCGAGTAAGTTAATCCAGTTACTTGATTGGTATTACATATTAGTAATACATAAATGAAAGTATTTACTTAATAATAAATCAACCGTCAGCTCGTTTCCCACCTTTTTATGTCAGTCGGATTAAATATTTTTTATACCTTATATTTCTTTTACACCCTCTATTATAGTCATAACTAACAGTATGCCAATTTTAATAAAGTTTGATGAGGTCGTAATTCAGTCGACTCAAGTCTGAAACGCTGAATTTGCAACAGAGGTACAATCTAAGTTGGCACGGGTATCGATGCAATCACTTTTACAAAGTTTCAAACTTGCAAGTTTGAACTTGCAAGTGCCGTTTTTGATACGTTTTTTCATAACTTTTTCAGAATCCGTTTTTTTTAGATTTCGCTGTCTGTCTGTCTGACCGTCTGTCAAGCTCATGAACCACATTATAGTTAGACAGTTGAATTCTGTTGCCGCTACAACAAAAAGTACTAAAAAAAAAGAATAATAAAATATTTAAGTGGGGCTCTCATACAACAGACATGATTTTTTCTCCGTTTTCATAGATAATTCTACGGAACCCTTTGTGCGCTAGTCCGACCCGCACTCGGGCGGTTTTTATTTCTCTCTATACCATTTCACACTACCGCACATGTCACTCATAGAGTTCTCTTGGGAGTCTAAACGTAGTGGGTTCACAATACCGTCGACCCTCAGCAGTGAGGGAACGACTAAAAAAAACACGAAGAGACATGTCACCCATCGGTCTGTAAGGAAGCCCCGATCGCGCCGGTTGCAGGCGGCCGGTCGTACCAGAAGCTGGGCTTCTGCGACGTGAACCTGGCCGAGTTGGCGGGCGCCGGGGAGGCGACGCGCCACTGCCTCCTCGAGGGCTACGACCCCCGCCGCCGCCAGGACAACTCGGTGCTGAGGCTCCGGATCAAGATGAACATGATCTCGGGAGATCCGCTCTTCAAAGTGTGAGTTGTAGCGATAATATACGTAGGTAAATGCAATGGAACGACTGCTGGCTACAGCCTACCTAATCTAACCTACAGCCATCACCTACAGGTTACGTTCATTATTGCGATGTGGAGGTCTTTTGCGATGTTATTTTCTTACAAAGCTCTTTTCTTTTTTAAAACGTTTACTTCCCTTTTACGTTTACGTTTAAGAAAAACTTATCTATAGTGTTGCAGAGCTGTTTTTTTCTATACAAATTAATTTACATATATACAACAGGACATACGTGCTGGAATTGAGACCTCGCGCCATCACGACATTTATTTGCACAATTCTACAAACAATTTAATGTAGTATGGCCACGCAACAGTGTTCGCTGTTGCTCGAATGGGCAGGTCCGTCCGGGGAAGCACCACGACCTGACAGAAGACCGGCGTGAATTAGATACCGGGGCTCACCTTATCAAAAGGTGGCATTAACGCATCTACAAACCCTACGGGTGTTGCAAATGTCCATGGGCGGCGGTTATCACTTAACATCAGGTGAACCGCCAGCTCTTTTTCCACTTTCTCACATAAAAATGTCAAGTATCACATGGACCATCTTATAATTTTTCTAATTTTATTAGGCTACAACTGTATTACTAATGGTTGGATGTTGTTGTAACGATCTGTTTTTCTCAATTACCTGAGAGAGTTAATATTTAGTACTCAATAATATAACTCTGATTTAATGAATTAAAGCCGCTCAAGCTTCGAAGTTATTTTAAAGATATAAGTATTAGGCGATTGCTCTAAATTGGTGAAATAAAGATTTCATTAATTATTAATGCGTTCAGCAATGAGTATATAATTACTCATATATTTTCATACAACAGGATGAATAGAACAGTATACGCCTTTAAATTCAGTTTGACCTTTCTGATATGTAACGGTTTTGTCGTGTTCCTTTTCCAGTCCGGAGCGCAAGCAGGAGGCGGTGGAGGGGGGCGGGGACAGCGGGGCCGAGAGCGCCGCCCCACCGGACGAGGACTGCGCTTCCTCCACGGCGAGTTCAGGGTTCGGCTCTCTCACCAACAACAAGGCGCACGGTGAGCGAGGCAAACATATATGCGTAGCAGTCAGCCACATGTCACATAGATGTGGAATGCCCCGAGTTCTGGGCGTGGTACCGTCGAGTGCAGAAATGAGAGTTTAAGTTCATAGTTTTTGGTGCTCCAAGTAGCCCCACGCAAAGTACTTACATTTGGATCTGTCAACATGAGCAGGCAGACAGACAAATTCAGTGGTTAGACAAATTCTGGTCTATTATGAAATCATAATTATAAAGTTTAACGCCAGCTCGAAGCTCGCCAGGTGGCAAGAACCGCAGTTCTGTAGCTGCCGCTCATTGGCTTTTGCAACGCTCGTAGGGTTGCAGATGCGTTAACACCTTACAATAAAGGGGGTCCCCGGCTACCTCACTAACCAGATAAATTCACGCCGAAATTCTGTGATGTCGTGTTACTTCCCCGGAGTGACCAGACCATTCGTGCAAACAGTGAAGATCGTTGCGTGCCCTTAGCACAGTAAAATGGTCCGCCGAAACGATGCGCATTATGAACGCTATGAAATGAATACGATGTGTCTCTTCGCAGCCGTGGAAGCCATGCCCCCGATGACGATGTCCTCGCTGGCGCCCTGCGAGCCGCCCTCCCCCGACCACGACGAGCTCGCCGCCCCAGAACATCCAGGTATGGTGACGACATCCCCTTCATACCTGTCTTAGCTCCGGTATCGTACTATGTTCGGTCTGGTTTTAGGTTCACATCCAACCACGTCGTCTAAAGCGAATCCAGGCGCAGTGTATTGTTACTTATGAAATTAGAATTGAAAATTTTCGGGACATATTTTCAAACACAAAGCTTGTAATAGTACAGTACTAGATTACTGATAAAAATACTTATACACACTTTTCTTTTGTAAGTAAATATATTTATAATATGATAGATATAATATAAACACCCAGACACTAGAAAAACACTATGTTTATCACACAACATTTTTCCAGTAGTGGGGATCGAATCCACACTCTCGGACGCAAGAATCAGGGTCACTAACAATTATTTTAACAGTATTCTTTGCACCTGAAAATGTCAATTTCAAACATTACCATGATGTTTTGAAAAAGTTACGTTTTGCAGATTCGCGCCCATCTGGGCGTTTCTTCTGGCTTTAACCACTAAACTGAACAGCAGATTGCCACACCGATAAAAGTCTCAACATATTTTATCTATATTGTTTTTCGAATATTAAGCAATGCTTGGCCCATCTTTTTTGTCCTTTACAGCACACCAACATATTCTAAGTAATGTCTTAAGTGCAAAGATTAGCACTATGAAATTTTAAAATGCCAAACATATTCGGCTAATAGTAGTTGTTTCCAGCTAAGATTATCGTGTGAATAACCCGAATTGTGTTAAAAATAATAATTTGGTCACTTTGCAGCGGTGCCGGTGGGCGTGACGTCATGCGCGTCTTGCCAGCAGCACACGCACTCGCGGAACTCCTCCAACACCTCGGGCGACATGAGCAGCAAGGTGATTACAACTGCTCAATTATCGCACAACACAATACAGTTTGGTCCTTCGAGCCGGATAACGTAAAGGATTCTTTATTGAGTTTACGATCATTTGCAATGCTGTTATATGTAATGGTCTACTTGTATTTAGTTTCGACTGTTTAGTGCAGAGTCATTTAATTCGGCTATGAATCATATTATACTGACATCACAGAAGTTACACTAAATCTTTTGAAGATATGTAGAGTTCACCAATTCGCAGTTGGAACGTGTGGTGGGCTACGCCCTTATACCGTCTGTACAGAGGAGGAGAGGGCGACTGTTAATTTATTTTACTCTATAAAAGCGTTGAGCGGTGTGTTTGTACGTCGTCAGGCGTCCGGCTACGGCAGCTCGGTGTCGGCGGCGTCGGCCCACTCGCGCCAGAGCTCGGAGGGCGAGGGCGGCGCCGAACCCAGGCCCCACCACAACAGGTACACCCACCCCACCCGCCGCACCGCACCGTACCGCACCACACCGTATCTCTACCTTTTTAACAACAGAATGTTCTAGTGCCGTGCGTGCGTTGCATCGTTTCACCGGTCCGAAGGCTCGATTGTGCGACAATCGTCTGCACTGTGCCTAACATCGTGACGTCATTGTCACATTGCTTTGTTCGGAGAGTAAACTTGCACAACTGACGTCTTCATTATAAATTAATTATCAAGTCTGGAATAATGCGGCACCGAATGGACGCAAACGTTTATTTCTTGTGCATACTTTTAGTATCTATGTATTTTCTTATATTGCGTGATGAGTATTTTTTAATTTATTTATATTATTACTATGTTTTTGTGACTCTTTAACTCGGATTCGATATTTCTATTTCGATTATGGTTTCGAATGGTGTTACTTCTGTCGGGTGCGAATGACACGGCTGGAGTTGGCTTCGCGTGGTGCTTGGCGGACGCGGGGCGGACGGACCTCTTCCCACGCCCCTGTACAGACCAACCTCCTCCCAACCAACCCGCTTTCCCTTAACACTGTTCTGTTCTCGGTTTCGCACGAAATGAACCTACCGGCGGACGGTGTCTCGGCGCTTTATTAATTGATTTCTGTTTGCCTCCCCCCCGGCCGACCTTCACCGAATCTCCCCCGCACCGATCGATCCCCCCCAGTGTGCGATTGGAGCGTACCGTCACAACGACCACCACAACCACCACCGCGGCCACCGGGCAAAGCGGCAAACACTCGGGCCGACTGAGCAAGCTGCTGATGGAGAGGACCCTGTTGAGCGAAACGTCCGACCTGTACCTGACGCCGAACAGCACCCTGACGGGCCCCCCGGACGTGGTGCCCCGCCTGGCGCTCCCCTCGCCCGCCAGCGACGAGTACCGGACCCCCGACACGACCCTGGCCGACGAGGGCACCTTCGCGATGCCCACCTACTTCGACCAGAAGAGGCGCGCCGCCGCCGTGGTCGCCGCCGCCGTCCAGCCGCTGGCCAACTTCCAGATGTTCAAGCAGAAGTCTCTGAACACGATACCGGCCCTGCTCGAGAGGAACAGACGCAACGAGGAGCTGTTCACCAACTTCCCGTTCCTGACGCCGCTGGCGCACAGAAAGAACTCGCTCGTGTCGAACGCGAACAGGCTGTCCGGCTGCATAGAGGACGAGTTCTACTGCATCCCCTCGGAGCCGGAGGCGGACGCGGAGCTCTCGGAGAGGGTGGACGTGCGCCACCGCCTGCGCAGCCTCTCCAGCCAGGCGCTGGACGACGAGCCGCTCACCTCCACGCCCAAGGGCGAGGCGCCCCAGGAGCCGGGGTTCGCGGCGGCGCGCGGCCGCAGGGCGGAGCCGCTCAGGCACAGCTACACCGACTACTCGAGGTGAGTGGCCGCCGCGGACTGGGGTCGCTTGCCCTCTCCCCTTCCCCTTCCTCGCTCGCTCACTCTATCTCTCTCTCGGCCCGCTCCTTCCCCCCCCGATTAACGTCCGCCGCGCACTAACGCCGGGTGTGTGTGTGGGATCACGCTTGGAGGTGTGTCCGTGTGGCGGTGGTAGCGTTGGCGGTGTGGCAACGCGTGGCGGTGGTAGCGTAGTGACGTGGCGATGCGTGGCGCAGGCGCGAGGCGGGCGAGGGGGGCGCGTGCGCGGCGTGCGGCGCGCGGCGCGACGGCTCGCCGGGCCGGCGGGCGCCCTCCGCGCGGTCAGTGACCCGCCCGACCACCTTTGTCGTACGCGTTGTCCGCGCCGTTTTTTTGTTCTGCCACCGTATACTCGTTGTTGTACTCGAGTGTATTTTTTGTTGTGTTGGTTTTTTTTTGGTTTTACGTATTGTAATAACTTTTTTTTTGCATGGGTTCTTTCTTGAATGTCGATGTGCCTCGAAATGTGTCGAGAGTATTGTTAAATATGTCTTCTTTTACATTTTCCAGGCATATTGAAATGGAGTGTTACAAATACTAAAATTGAATGCATTTTTTCTTTACACTTCTAATCTTTCTTTGCATGCTCTTTGATGTATTATTTTATTATGTACTCGAAGTAAATATTTAATTTCAATTTACAATTTATATATTTATTTCTATAAACATGTTAATTATTGCACATTATAAATAGAAGTAGTAAAGTAGTTATTTTTTCTTAAGCAATTTTGGTGAAAATTATATACATTAATATTTAAAAAAAAACATTTACCTTAGCTTAGTCATAAGTAGATGAAAATTTAAACAATATTTACAATATTTTAAAAAACATATTGCCGCATTTGAACATACTAATATTGCGTATATTCCTTACAATTTTATGCCCATTGTATTATATAATGACATGTCATATTATGACATGGTCAGTGAGCATTATTAATCGTCAATTGGCGATTAATAATGTTCATTTAACTTATGAAACTTCACGATAATACAAGCAAGTTCGAAATTTGAATGAATAATGAATAAAATCAACAATGGCTATCACTATCCTGCTAAAAGGACCAATAATAGTAATCACACTTAAAGCCGCGAGAAGGGACGTGTTCCCGCGGGTAGGGGGAAGCGAGGGATCGGAAGGGGAATAGTCGTAGTAAGACTCGCGTCGGAACGGTGCAGGAACCCGTCTTCGGGCTCGCTGACGGCCTCCGCGTCGGAGAGCGGCTCGCTGGAGAGGGCGCGCGCCGCCATCGAGAGGCGCAAGCGGAACGCGCCCCCCGCCGCGCCCCCGCCCGACGACGCGCAGGTAGCTTGGATAGAGGGGATGGTGCGGGATGAGCAACTGGTGCCAGGAAGATGAGGACTCCGTGGCTCCAAGTTATCGGCTTTGGCGTCAGGTTCGACAAGGGACAACTGTTTGTTTCACCCACAAATGATTCCGTACGCAAAACGTCCTCACAGGCAATGACTTTTTAAAAAAAAAAAATAGTGACTAATGACTTGAGGCTCTAATATTGCCACTTTGTCATTTCATTCGAGTCTTGTCGAGCGCCAATTCTTTTTTTTTTTTTTTATTAAAAAAAAATTGCCCTTACTTTAGGATAATATTATTCTGTGTTGTAAAGGACGTTTTACAAACATAAATTTGACGCGGACAAACACCCAGATGCGAAATAACTATCTGTGGGTCACACAAATAGTTGTCGCGTGTAGGAATCGAACCCAAGACCCCCGACACCGCAACTGCGCCACAGAGTCATCGATTGGCCAGGGGCCAATTGAACAGTAAACGGCAGACGCGTGATGCAGAGCGATTGTCTTGAACGGAATGTTGTGGCGACCGGCGTGCTAAGCGATGGCCATCCGCAGCACGCGGTCTCCTGCCGCGTGGAGAACACGCGCGTCAACCCCGACTCGCTGATCGACGAGCTGCTCGCCGCCACCGACCTCAAGCAGGCCGTCGACGACAGCGCGGAGAGTGAGTGGCCTCCGCCCCTCCTTCCTTTTCATTCTACGCGAATATTATACATGTCAAATGAGACTAGTTTACGTTAATTTTTTTTTTAATTCCCATCTTTTTGAACCTGAAAACGCTGGAACAGCGTTCATGTTCCAACTGAGTTTTTTCACGTTTTGATGTCAAAGTTAACCCGGTCTACCGTATTTTTATTTCAATCCGCGTAAAAGGAGCTTATGGTATCTTGAGGTCTAGCAGTATTAATTGACGGTAGCCCGGGCTAATTTTCACATGAAGACGTACCAGCTCATTTTGCCCGTGACCATAAACGCATAAATATATAAAGTTTGTAGTAAAAGTTTTGTATTTGATAAAGTGAAGTTTGTCGAGCTGTGCGTAACGGGTGCGTGGTGTTTGTGTGCGTGCGCAGCGTCGGGCCTGCAGCTGTTCATCACGCGCGATGGCACGGCGGAGCTGGGCTCGCGGCAGCGGCAGCAGCTGGCCCGCCGCGACTACCAGCGCGTCGTGCTGCACCCGCACGACAACAGGCACGTACACGCACACGCACACGCACGCACACGCACCGAGTGCACGAATGGGAGGGTCCGCTTTATTAAAAGATGGCAACGCATCATCAGATGAATCGTCACATAGAAAACGCACACACACACACAGACACACACAGACAGCCGCCCTGAGGGCCGTCTTGTGCCGCAGGTAGCCCTTGGCGCGGCGGCGCGGCTCCGAAGGACGCGCAGCGGCGGCCGGCCCGGGGTTCGATGCCGGGCGCCGGCGAGGGCGCGCTCGACTAAGCAATGCATATTTATTATGTCTCCATTATAAATATTACGCCATACGAACCTTTTACAATTTGTAAATTTTATGTTGATTTTTTTTATTATTATATCTGCGTATAGCCGTATTCCATGGGACGTTTGTGGGAAGCTCACGGCGCGATACGCTTGGTTTTATATTGTATCCCGTTCGGCCCTCTCCCTTCCGCCTTCCCGATGAGTTGCGATGTTCCTACGCGTTACAATGTGCTTCCTCCGCACTCCAGTTTTGTATCGATTTTACCTTTCGATCCCAGTGTATCTGATATAAATTAACATTTGCCGTGACGGTGGCCGCAATGAAATCACCGCTGACACATGTCTCGTTGATGACTTTCAGTCAAAGCCAACCTTAACGCTACACTTTCCCATTGCGGTCGCTATCACAATGCCGTAGAGGTGCCACGCCCCTCTACATAAACGACGCTTCCGAGTCCCTCCATTTTCTTTTTCTGTACTTTTTAAAGTCTATCCGATGACGCTCGACCACGCATAAGTGAAGGGTACGCGTATAACACTCGCCATTTGATGTTAGATTATGTTTTGCGCTGAAAACTATTCGATACCAAAGGAAAACATTTCATTGATAAATTATTATGTTCTATTAATAGAAACAGCCGATTTAGAAACTACGTCCGGAATAAGCATCCGGTTTTTTTTAAACCATTTAATATATCCTAGGTAACACTTATAGTAGTAGACAAGGATTAACGTGATTTCTCCTCTTTGGTATCGACTTATTTCCAGCGCTAATTTCTATTGATGATTATGTATATACATGCATAGGATAAAAGGTGGGCGTGCGCAGTTGTCGCTGCGAGCCTCTTCCATGTAGTCTCACCAGCCTGTACAGTATTGAGCGGACGTGTTAGAGTTAAGCTCTGTTGTTTTTATTTATGAATAAACTTGTGACCTGTAACGCCTTTGTGGTTTCATTTAAAAGAAAAGTATATTTACATGTATTTTATATAAAATCGATTTTTCACTAATTCTCATTTGGTTCTTCCGCACCTCCCTATTTTCTTTACTTATTTGTCGGTTGATTGGTAGAGAACACCTAATAATGTTAATTTTGCCATTGTATAAAAAGTATTTATAAATAAATATAAGAGCTGGGGAGAAATATAAAATGAAACGCCGTTTGGAGTAGATCGTATATTTAATGAGTAAACGCCAATAAGCTGGAGTGCATGTGGACAAGGTGGTGGTGGACTCTGTGACGTCATGCGCCGTCCACCACCCGCGTAAACTACCCTCCACGAACTATCGTAATATCTTGTATGTAGTAATTAGTTTCAACTAGCTTACAGCAATTCACAGGAAAAAAAAATGAAGAAAAAAATCCATTATAACCAACAATTATAAATAAAACTGTTTTGGTAGAAATCTACGTATCAACTTAACTATGTATCAACAATGATTGTTCCGCATGTGACGAAACTTGTGTACCCGAAAATAAATACCTATCTATTCTAATTTCAAGCAAGGGGCGGAGCGCGCGGTCATGAGTGGACTATAAAGCTCGGAGACTTTTATACAACATTTGATATACGTACGTGTATAGTAAGTACGAAAGGATATCACATTATTAAAATTCATCGAGAATAAAGTACAAGACATACTTTAGGGAATAAAGGGGAAGCGCCTACATTGTCTCACATTATAATACATATATGGAATGTAAAGGGTACATTGAGCAAGTTGTGAAAAAATTCGTCCAGGTAATACTGGGTGTGGTAAAAAGAGTTTAAAAAGTTAAGTACACTTCGACGACCGGCCTTAAACGAGCACAATGTACAATACAATTACGCTAAATGTACTTACAGCTAAACACACATACACCGGTCGGGTAATCGTAAAGTTATTGTTTAAATAGAGTCCTACAGACAAAGTAGTTTAATATACAGACTTGTTTGTAAGGCACGGGCGGCTCGCCGCCGTCTGCGACGCTCGGTTCGCTCTACGCTCCACACGGCTCTACGTAACTCTACAGAGCTCCACAGACCTCCACGCGGCTCTACAGAGCTCTAGCGGCAGACGCAGAGCGGCCGACGCCCGCGACGATTCGCAGTCGAGGCACGCCTTCACTATAGCTAATTTAGAATCTTGCACGCTTCTCCAATATGTTACAAAATCGACTTAGACTAATCGACATCCGCGCGGGCCGTAGCCGAAGTTACACTGTCCAGTAGTTGTTACCGACAGGTTTTGCAAAGTGCTTCGGTTCTGCATATTTATACGAGTCCGTTCGCGTCGGCCCGCACGTCCGCCGGCGGCCGCGCGTCCACTTATCGTCACGCGCGCACCAACACTACAAGCGAAATTTAAATAATCAAAAGTTAACGACAATTACACACCGTACAAACGTTCCTCTGATTCGTACCGCTTGAATAAATTAGATTAAATACAATTGTGAAAGATTTTATTCGTTAATAAATTCACACAATTGCTACTATTCAATAGGGCATTGATTGATTGATACACGCTCTCTAAAGTGAGACAAAAATTGGGACACGTGGACCCGCGGCCGCGATATAACTAGCAACTATACTAGTAGCTTAAACCTAAACTGTTGATGACAAACTTCTAATCGCGTCCAGATAGTTTGATCGCCGCTCTATCGTATTATCTAAGATGGTCCTATGATGTTTTGTTTAGCATGTCTGTGATGTTTTGTTTAAACATTCTGGAGTTATTGGACGTAACTAAAATTTATTGACGACGCCCATAGTCAAAAGGGGAAGGAAACCATTTCGCATGAAGAAAGAGATTTTCGAAACATAGTTTTTGTTCAAAGGAACGGTGATAGAGTGTGACGAATACTTCAAACATCATAAAAGTATCGTATGTGAAGTCTGACCCCGAAAAATTATATTAGCTGCCTTAATCTTACTTATTATAATAAATTTCTTCTTATAGTACAAAATATTCGTACAGTGCTTCTGATAATACATAATTTTTTTAGATATTAAGTACACATTAGCCTTCAGGCATATTAAAGTCTAAAGTACTTATACACGCAATACAATATTTGTCCAAATAAGTACATCTTTCACGATTTATACAAAAAAAAGTATTAGATCCTAAACAATATTTTTATTCGTCGTTTATATAAATAGAATTTCATTTACTTATCGCTACAAAAGAATACATTGAAATCTTAGTCCCGGCGTTACTTTGCGACAGTAATGACGTCACTTGCGTGATCTCATATCATTTCACCGCGCGGGACCCACTACATTTGTATATATCGCCTCAAATGTATAATATAAATCATCCGTACAAAATACATCACGATCTAGTTAAGTACAAAAGTGCATTCACAACACAGGTACGATTTTTGAATAGTATACGCACATACATAAATATATTTTATCTTTTGTAAAGGTTGTCGCTACTTGTTAGTTTTTTTGCTCTCTAAGTATATGTTATCTCTTTCACACAGTCACATACACAGAAAAACTCCTACATCTATCAACAATGATTTGGTTGATATGCGTCGCCTCCCGATCTGATTTCTTTGTTCATATCGACGCTCCTTCTGGAATATAAATAAATGTGTAAATTTCAACTTTTGTTTTCTTTTATAACTTCTACTTAAACTTTAACTCAATGACAGGAAATATTGTAGATTTTTTTAAATATGTTACGTCGGATGTTGAAAATAGAAAAAAATGGGAGCTAAATTTTAATTGAATGCAAATAATAAAATTATGTAAGCGCCATCGGCATTATTTACTGAGAACTGTAACGGGGGAGCGTGATTGACAATATGCTGCCATCTATTAAAAAATAAGTGGTTTAGCTTCAATGCTTCAAAGTGATTCGGGCGGATCTTAAAATTTCACTCTTATCATTTTTTCATAACGCGCCTAAAGTAATATAACTTCAAAAATAATTTAGAAACCGCGATAAAACTCTATATAAAATTTTATTAAAATTGACAAATGGCGACTAGTGGATGTAATTTATATAGATCGCAGCATTTGATAAAGCCGATTATAGCATAAAAAGTAAAGTATCAGCCTATCCATGTCCCACTGCTGGGCAAAGGCCTCCTTTGTACAGAGGGTATCAGGGCATAGTCCACCACGCGGCCCCATTGCGGATTGGCGGACTTCAAATATTTTTTTTATTATTATTTAGAAAATATGCCGGTTTCCTCACGTTTTCCTTCACCGCGGAGCACGTGATAATTCAGCACTTAAAACTGACAATTTCATTGGTGCTGGCACCGGGGATCGAACTCAGGTTACTCGAGTATATTAAATTAAAGGCGAGCGCCCGGACACTGAGCTATCACGGCTCTATTATAGCACATTAATACAAAAATAATCCCAAAAGGGTATAGATGGGTCCCTTAAACTGGCTAATTCTTATCTTAGCAAAAGAATCTTAACAGTTGTTATTAACAACGGATATCATTCTGTACCGTATTAAACGTCTTCTGGAGTTCCACAAGGCTCACATTTAGGTCCGTTATTGTTTAATGAATACATAAACGACATCTCTGACTGTTTTATTAGCTGCCGATTTTCATTTACTTGCGGATGATTTAATCATAGTCAAACCAATTAGAAATTCTCTAGATGTTATCTGCCTACAAAAGTACCTCAATAGATAAGTTAAAAGATGATGATTCGTATGAGGCACCGTCATAAACATATTCAAAAGAAGATATATAACATTTTAAATAGGTGTCGATTTTTGTTATTACATTTTACAACACAACCAATGTTTTTCTTAGATAAAAACATATTTCTATGTAAATGTGATTTCGGTTACTACGCGCAATACACGAGTTAAAAATAAATATGAGTAGGGATGTAAGGTGAAGAAATATGTCGATACTTTTTGACATCTCTAAATAGGAGTTGCCACTTAATTATTTTTAAATAATACATATGTATGACTCAGTGGCGCAATTGCTAAATTATTGGCGTAGCTTTCGGAGGCCAACGGTTTGATTCCCACACGGTAAAAGTTTTGTGTGATCTACAGGTAATTCTTATGGATTAGTCTGTTTGATCTCTAAGAGAATTGACGTTAGGCAAGCGTAGGTCGTACAGGACTTAGCCACTACTATACCACGTAGATGGGATGAGGGCTGGAGAAAGAAAAAGCTAAGGGTTGCAGATTTGACAAATATCTAAATAATCGAAATCGCGTATGCCGTACCTATATGAGGCGCTCCTCCGGCGGCGGCTTGAGCGCGTGGTGCATCATCTCGGCGCGAGGGTTGCAGTACTCCTGGCCGGAGGGCGAGTAGGTGCCGCGCGTGGCGCGCTTGCGGCGGGCCTGCGCCGCCAGGAGCGCGCCCGCCGCCGCCGCCGCCGCCAGCGCCAGCAGCGCGCCGCCCACGCCCAGCGCCAGCCGCGCCGCGCCGCCGCCCCCGCCCCCGCCGCCGCCCCCGCCCTCCGCCACACCCTGCTGCGAGCAGTTGCGCCCCGCCCAGCCGCCCACGCACTGGCACACGTAGTCCACGCGCGACGAGCAGCGCTGCTCGCAGCGGCCGCCGTTCTCGCAGGGGCCCGACGGCGCTGCGCTCGAGTTGCCCCCGCCCGCGCCCAGCTCGTAGCACGGGTCCGGCAGCTTGCACTCGTCGCCGCAGTAGCCGGCCGAACACTCGCATCTGGCGGCCGAGGGAAGAAAACACATAAGATGGGGCGGACCGAAGAACGGAGCGGACGCTGTAACGGCGATACTGACGTGTAGGAGCCTGGCAGATTGTGGCAGACGCCGGGGCCGCAGCTCACGAGGCCTTCGCTGCACTCGTCCACGTCCACCTCGCATCGCGCGCCCCTCCACCCTGCAATTTGCAAACGAGTTTCTTCAAACAGTGCTACGACAATCTCGCGTACGGTTTTTTATTTCAATTTAACGGTAAATCGTTCACAAGAAAATAAATTCATAATAATGGTAGTGAAGCGCATATAGCCGAACCTAAGATGCCAGAGCACCTTACCTGGTCCTTCAGGGGCAAAAGGTTACTCCCCAAAGAGGAGCTCCCGGGTCGGCCAACGCTAGCGGGGCTATAAAAGTATGCGAAAGTATTCCTAGGGCCCTACCAGTATACTCCTAAGTGGAACATCGTGAGACCGACATAGCACGCAAGGATCGCTATCCAGAGAATTCCTCCAAGTAAACAAAGAAAAATGTAATTGATGAATGAAAACACATTGACTATCAAACAAAATTGAACACTTCAGCGAAGAGGAAAGCTGACAAGAACAGGAAGATACTAAAACCGTTACGCGGAATGAATCATCTATAACACTTCAAAGACACTGATCATTCTAAGCGGATAATTAATAGCGTATTAAACGTTCATAGAATCATTAAAATGTCTTCGCCAAGACTTAAAAATTTACGCTTTCATGGTTGGTTTAAACGAAAAAATAGTTACATTGACAATTAACACGCTAATTTTCACAATCAGTATAAATATTATGAATAAATTAATGGGGTACGAAGAGGCATACTGTATCTTAAACCTTTACGTTATAGGCAATTCATAGAAAATGTCAATCATATACCACGGTTAGGGATGAAAAAAATCAATTATAAGTGAACACTTATACCAATAAAAAAGTAAATTTTAGAGGTTTTGGTGCGCATTTCTAATAAAAGCGTAACACGATAATGCAAACTTATTTCATTATATTTTTAGCAATGTTAAATACTTCAGTAGCTGGAGAACCAGTGGTTTTTTTTAGGTAAATCGTGTATTTTGGAAATTAAAAAATAAAAAATAAAGAAAGCAATGATCTGGTATAGAAAAAAAGTAAAAAAAATAAATGTGTAAATGATCGTGACACGAACCGCAGCCTTCTGTTTCGGGGCCGCCCGATTACCTTTTATAACATTTTTTTTTCGGCGAAATTTATCGCCATATTCGAATCATATTTTTCATTCCCTGAAAACAGGGATAAAAACCATTTTCTAAAAATGAAACCTAGATCGATTTTTCGCCCCCGAATCTACGCACATACTAAATTTAATGAAAATCGCTAGAGCCATTTCCGAGATTCCGAATATATATATATGAAACAATTGCTCGTTTAAAGGTATTAGATTATTTTCCCATACTTCAGTAGTAAAAACCCTTCATTACGAATTTATGATTCATTGATTGGTGACGTCAGAGTATTAAAGTGACTTATGCCCAGTTTCCGAAAGGCCAATCAAAGCAGCAATCACATAACACTATGTCAAAAATGATCAGCTGTTAATCTCTTGTTAAACTGCCTTGGATTTCTGGAAGGTTTGTTCAAGAAAAATTAGCTAATCACTGTATAACCAATAATAATGAATGAAATGAATGATTTACTTCAACTAACTCTTTCTATTGTATAGCTCTGTCCCTTTTTAAACAAAACTTAAATTAACGTCACTATCTAGACCTGTCACCGTGTGATTGCCAACGTAAAAATCCGAGCTATAATAAAATTTAATTTATATAAATACATGCAAAATGTCTAGAAAAAACTTTACAGAACGTAAAGAAATGAACTTTTATCCATAATAAACAAGTAAGGATTATAAAAAGAAAGATTCCATATTATTTATTAACTTTTGAATTGCATTTTGTATTTTTTCTAATCGCATGATATGTTCGCATAATAATAAATAATAAATAGGTAATAGAACACATGAATGTCCTAACAACGTATTAGGGAATTATGTTTATTTTTAATAAAAACTAAGATTTTTGATAAAATACATTTTTAACCAACGATTGATTGTCCAAATTGACAGATTACTTAATAAAACTTTTGACAGCTCGTTGACCACCGAAAAACGCTTTCAGAAACTCGATTTTCTGTTGAATGTCCGTTAATCAGTGACTAATTGCAAATCAAAATCAATGTTGTTTTCAGACGTTCTAGCAACTCAGATCATGTTAAACAACGATTGACAAGAGATTTATCGTAAATTAAAATTGATTGCGCTTTCGGAAACTGGGTGTAAAAGTAACTATTATGATTTAGCGTTAACGTCTTATAGTTTTGTTATATTTACATTGAATTTATCGATTCCTTTGATATATTAAGAACACTATCATATTATAAATGCAGCTTAGCATATTAATTTAGCTCTGGGCGCGAACCCAGAAGACGTGGGTTCGATTCCCGCCAAGACCAAAAACGTTTTTCGCTCAATCGCTTTTTTCTACATTGCAACTTAGTTCTTTATTTTCATGGTAGTCCTATACCGTGATGGTTGAGATATTTCTCTTTATATTTTTATATTATTTAATGATTAATTTTACCTTAACCCAAGTAATCGGATCGCTATATTTCCGTATCAATACAATATCTGATCCACCTTTATTGAAATGGATTTTCGTTTTACTGTCTCTATCTTCGGGATATGCTACCATTATGACTGTTTATAGTCCGTCGATACCATTGTTATGGATTTACAGAGATTTTTTCTGAGCGTTAAACATTTTCTTATTGTAACTTATCAACGACCGTCGTAGACCAAGGTCAGCTGTTACCTCCTCCATTATCTATGACGACAAACGACAATAGCGTGACGCCTGATTTCTTGTAAATAACACCAATAAAAAGTTTCACGACAAAAACTTAACAACTGAGCAGAGATACGCCAAGTCCACGGTCTAGCCTAGTCGACCGAGAAGACTCGGATGCTATAACAATCATTGTTTATACTAAGTGCGAGCTAATGCCATCGTCGTTAATGATTTCATTGCCACACGCCACATTATGAATGTAAATTATTCTAAACACTTGCGAGTCGTTCCAGTATAAACATCGGAGGCACATTTTATCACCTTATCATTGTTATAAGAAAGAAACGTTGTCTGTAAATTTAGGGAACGATGATTTCTTTAACCATTAATCCGATAGAGATAACACACTTATCACAATAATGGAAACAACGATGGCTTGGGACGTGGACACATGTCAGCCCGTCTGCACCAAACTGGGTCACCAAAGTATACGGGACACGGCACGCGTATGCTGAGACTGAATGAGAGGGACGTATGCTCCCGCCTACCTAGGGTGAGGGCGAGGGCCCAGAGCGGCCACAGCGGCCATAGCATGGTGGCGGCGCCGCGCGATCCGCTCCGCGCCCACCCGCCTCGCACTCGCGGCGCCCACTAGCCCCGACCCGCGCCCATTCACGCCATGACTCAGCCGACTCTGCTCAGGGCTACTTCCTCGAGTAGCGCGCCTTAGATTCACTCATTGCGATCGCCCGTCGACCAGCCCATATTGACACTTTACGTCCGATCCGTACACCTTCTGTGTACGGAGGACGTTTTCGACGTTTTCCTCTTACCGATTCAAATAACACTTTTATAATATCTTATCGTACTTAACTTATTTTTCAATCAGACAAACACGTTATTGATTCATTTTAGAACGGTTTTCAGTAATTTTCTTTATTACACATTTAGCACGGCACCAAATAATAATTATGAATAATCAAATAAAATAGAACTATTCTTTCGTTTAAAAAAAAAAAAACTTCTTAATAGTAAAAAAAGAAAAATAACTAACTAATTTTATCCCTTGTGCCAGGTTATGTATTATTTTTAAAAGAGAAAAGACACTAAATGCATTTGGTAACGGTTTAATTAAATAACTTGTAATTTTACGTAAATGTTAAAAAGTCGTTTTTAGTTACTTTCTTTTCCAAACGCGACAAAAAAGTGTAATTTAAAGAATTTAATAGATCGAAATGAACATTCCGTTCTATCCACGACAAAATAATAAGTGGAGAAAGTAATTGGTTTAAGAGCCACTGGCCGTACGTTATCAACGACCGCTTATCTGGAGATTGTGGCCGACGGAGCGCTAGCGCCCGATACGAGGCGTTATCGCCTCCGATACCCATCTCTCTACGAGATAACGTTTCGATTCGACAATACAATTTCGGACAGAGATACAGTTCATGTGAATTTCCACTATAAATTATTTAATATTCTCACGGCTTATTTCGATACACGCAATACGCAATCTGTATCGTTGCTTGATTTTTTATGTTAAAAAACTTCGCAAATTGTATGGTTGACGTCGTAAGTTTTAAATTTTAATATTTAGTGCATAATGATGATAATTAAAATGTTTAGACAAGTTGATATTTTAGAAAGTGTGTTTACTGAATAGTAAGTACACCAGATAGCCAAGCATTGCAACAAATGCGATTGAAGCAAATTAGATAAGACTTTGAGATTTTCTCGCGGCGAGGATAGCAACCGCTTAGCTTAGTGGGTAGGAAGACAGGGCGCGTAGTTGTGAATGCAAAAAATTTTCGAATAATATTCTACATTTTAAATAGTCTGTCCAGTGACCATGAACGCTGGAAAGGGTTCGAAACGTCGGGAAGATCAAATCAAAATAAAAACGCGATAAAATCCGTAAACTAGTTTCATTTAATATGTATAATATACGCGTAAAATCACGAAGTCAACATTTTAAAGTTTTGTCATTTATTTTTTCGAATGGATTGAGAAAACAATGTTCCATTTACTGTCTTTCAATCTTGGTTCACGGGAGCGGAGAGAACGGCTTTGAAATTCGGTTATATTGCGTAGGACACGATGCGAATATGAATTTTTTGTAATAGCATCAGTTTGAGTGTTAAGAGCATTTTGGTAGAAATTTTCGGGGTAATTCGTAAGATATAAGAGATAGCTAATATGTGGAGTGTGGACGAAACGAGATGTCGACCTCGGGTGTAACTCCTGATGGTGAACTTGTGATTTTCCTTTTTCGAAAGATTGCCGAAAATATTTTTGTTTTTTCGGAAGAATAATAACGGTAACTAAGAGATAATCTTTATTGAGATTTTCATAATGATTATCTATGTGCTGGTTATAAAATCCATGAGTTTAACCGTTTAGTACAACATTAACGTGACAAAAGGAGGGGTGAGAAGCATAAACCTTTAGGGAGACCTGCTTTGAAAAGGCGACATTGTGGCGTCATTGTAATATCAAAATGTGCATATTCAGTAGATTTATTGAATGTTGTGTACGAGCCTACTCAATAAATCAAATTGCACAGCTTGTTAGGCAAATCGAGACTATTGAATGCTTTGTAATATCAAAAAGGAGGCGACTGAAAAATTGTACGAAACCTTGTTTGTTTGAGTTTTATTAGAAAATGTCTTCGACTAGAAAAACACCGGTTTTTTATTTAGTCAGTCCTATAACGTGTATTAAGTCGGTTTGTTAATATACTTGTCTTATGTAGTTAACAATAATCAAGTAATAAGGCGATATAGGAGAAAAGCGTACCGGTGCCGGCGCAGTCGCAGAGCGGACGGTCGGGCGTGGCGTTCGTGCAGCGGCCTCGGTGCAGGCACGCGTCGGGCGCGGCCTCGGCGCACGGGCCGCGCTCGCGCTCGCACAGCCGCCCGCCGAAGCCGGCCTCGCACTCGCAGCGCGGCGGCCGCTCCTCCGCCAGGCAGCGGCCGTGCACGCAGGGCGTCAGCTCGCAGAAGGCGCGCTCGCAGCGCGCGCCCGCCCAGCCGTCGGCGCAGAGGCAGGCGACGGCGCCGCCCTCGTCGCGGCACGTGGCGCCCTCCGCGCAGGGCGCGGCCGCGCACGAGGGCGCGCGCGCCTCCTCGCAGCGCGCGCCGCGCCACTGGGCGCCGCACGCGCACGCGAACCCGCCCGCCAGGTCGGCGCACGTGCCGCCGTTCAGGCACGGCGCCGACGCGCACTCGTCCACGTCGCGCTCGCACCTGCCGCAGAGGCCGCAGAGGTCGCGTCACTCGCGCCATACTCGACACGCAACGTATAACTCTCGACGCTAACACTCACAGGTCGCCCTCGAAGCCCTCGGGGCACACGCACGTGTAGGCGGCCACGCCGTCCTTGCACGTCGCGCCGTTCTGGCACCGGTTGCTCTCGCACTCGTCCACGTCGATCTGCACGGGGAAACGGAACACTCGGTCAGCGGTGGGCGTGGTCGGCCGAGAGGCGGCTTGGGGCGGCGAGAGGTCCAAAGACGGCACCTCGCAGTAGTCGCCTGCGTAGCCGGCGGGGCAGGCGCAGGCGTAGGAGGTGCGCACGTCGGCGCAGTGGCCGCCCTGGCGGCAGTCCTGCTCCAGGCACAGCACGCAGCCCACGCCCTGGGCGGCGCCCCACGGTCGCCCCGACCTGTTCGGTTCAGTAAAACGAAGCTATGAAACTAAGGTAGCGACTTATCGTCGAGTTATCGCAGAGCCAAATCGCAAAGTCGTGCTAGATTTTATGCAAATACATAATGTGCACTCACAGAAGGGCGTAGTAAGGCTGTCTGGCCAGTAACGAGGCGGTGGCTCCTACAAATAACTCCTCCTCGCTGAAGAATGGCAGTAACAGCTCGCCAACGTGAACCGCACCCATGCAGCCCTGTCAATATGTTCGATGTGTCATTAGATGCTCTTTAAGGAAATAAACGTAATTTAATCGCAAAATAATAATAATAATACACTTACTTTGAAAAATTCACCGGAAAGATTGTCCGGTATGAGATCATCTCCCTCTGCATATTCCCACACGGCTTCTGTTGAGATCTCCGCCTGTTACGTGCATAAATATACCATTTCACGCTTGTATTTCGTGTACACACAATATGTGTTGCATTTATATAATCTGTAGGAAAAATTACTACAACAATATTTTTGTTATCTGTTTCTGTGGGATCTGTGGTTAACGCTATTAAAGGAACGGTGGTCGTAAAATATTAAGTTTTATTTTTATTCAAAATATCCCAAATTAATAAGGTGATCTTCTAAATTTATCCCAACCTAACGGCAGAGGCGGCGCTACGAAAGAGGAAACGGGATAATATGTATGACAAATGTAATTTTTAACGCATAAAATATTATAAAATTGTAACTGGTTTTGAATCACGTAAAAGCTATATAAAAACTGAGTATAGTTGCTTTGTAGAGAATATTCACAGCAATCCAAGAAAGATTGCTATGCGCTCACTAGTGCCGTGCTGGAGCTGGCCGAGTCGGTGGGCAGCGCGAGGGGTGCGGGGGGCGTGGTGGGTGCGGGGGAGGAGCGAGGGCGGTGCACCCCGCCCAGCTGCAGCTCGCCCTCCAGCATGAGCCGCTGCCACGCCTCCACGTCGATGGGCGCCGAGAAGCCCACCTCCTCCTCGCCCTCGGCCTCCACGAAGCCGCCTGTGAGTTCACGCCGCACGTGAGTATTGGTCTCGACTGCGACCACAGTCGGGGCGGCGGCGAGCGGTGACGCACCCGTGAGGTGACCGTCCGCCAGCCGCAGGCGCAGCGTGGTCCAGTGGCGGTGGTCGCGGCGGGCGCGCATCCTGCGCAGCGCCGGCAGCGCGCCGCCCAGCCGCCACTGCACCGCCACCTGCTCCTTGAACGCGCCCACGCTGAACCACCACTCGCCCAGCTCCGCGTGCAGCAGCGTGCCGCCGCTCTTGCTCCTGCGGGGTCGGGGGGAGGGTCAGGGGGAGAGAGACGGAGCGAGAGAGCAAGAGAGGGAGAGGGACGCACCTGTAGGTGATGGTGAGCGAGTGCGGGGGCGGCGGCGGCTGGCGCTCGGGCGCGCCGCGCTCGGGGTAGGCGGGCGGCACGCGCAGCCGGTAGCGCAGCGTAGTGTTGGCGCCGTCGAACGTCGCGTTCGACACGCACTCGTACCTAAGCACGGAGACATCGTTTCAATTCATGTCGGTGCTCCCGGGTCGGTGATTAAAAATAAACGGTGATTTCACACTCACCCTCCATCCAGATTGCGGCAATGCGAGTTGAGGGGACAGCCTTGCAGCTGGCAGAATTCCACTTCAGCGCACTGTTTGCCCTTGTAGCCACGCGGGCACGAGCATCTGGGGTTATGGGAACGAGCGATCAGTCGCAATCGTCGAAACCCGGCCCGAAGGAGCGGCGCCAAGGATGTGCACTCACGTGTAGTCGTTCCAGGTGAGGGTGCACGTGGCGTTGTGCAGGCAGGGCTGAGAGGCGCACGCGTCGTCGGACACCACGCCCTCCAGAACGGCCGCCGGGTCGAACGACACCTCGCCGAAGGCGGGCGGCAGCTGCAGCCCCTCCGCGCGCAGCGGGAAGAACTCCACCACCCACACGCTGTCGCCGTTCGACACCTGCACGGATGTGTCCATGTCGCGTGGATTATTCATATTCAACTTATAAGTATTATTCATATAAGTAATTAAATAATAGTTTTATCAGCTTGAGTGGTCACCTGCACGTCTTGTATGACTCCTTTGAAGTAGTCGGGATCGTCATTGGGCGGCGCGACAGTGCTGGGCTCCGGGCTGGTGGAGGAGGCGGGGGGCGCGGCCGATGGGAGGGCGGACGGAGCGACTGCGGGGGCGGAGGGCGCCGCGGAGGGGGCGGCGGGGGAGGGCGCCTGGCTCGCGGGGGCGAGGGGCGCGGCAGGGGCGGCAGGGGCGGCGGGGGCGGCTGGCGAGAGGGGGGCGGCGGAGGCCAGGAGCGCGGCGGCCACGGGGGGCGCCGGCGTCGTGTCCGCGGGCGGCTGCGGCGCAGGGGGCGGCCCGCCCAGGTACAGCACCTGCTCGCAGACACTCGAGTGAGCCCACGCGATTCGTTATAATCATAATAAACCACTAACGTTTGCTCAGACATTTCTTACCTGGGCGTCGAGTTGTCGTGCCGCCGATATGGACTTGCGGAAGTATTCCGTTCCGTTCAATTTCACCTGCACCAGCGTAGAATTCCTAACCACCTGTAAATATATACAATTATTAACAAACTTGACAAGGAAGGAACTGCGACTGTATCGACTCTTCTCAAACACGTCGGTTTCGACAGGTATGAATGCTGTATCCATATATTATGACATTATTTTTAGTGGAATAAGATAAAATAGTTCTAAGGTATCCAACAGTAGTCCGGTAGTGTCATCTGCGTATCTTTAGATATTTTTTTTTACTTCTTCTTTTCCAAATAAAGGAAGACACGCAACACTGGCTAACACACCTAGAAACTATCATCCCATCGGGCTTGAAATCAACAGAGACGAAACCAAGAACATTCTGAAATCTAGTAATTTCTCCACGGTCATGGACACCGGTGAGAACGAAATTCAAAGTGATTTGCCGTCAATAGGCTCCATAAAAAGATGGGAGACGCGGGTTCGAAGGGAGGGGGGCGCAGGGGGCGCAGGGGGCGCACCTCGATGAGGTGCAGGTGTCCGTTGTCGAGGCGCGTGCCGCCCACGGTGTAGTTCTCGGGCGTCTGGTTGAAGCGCAGGTGCAGCAGCAGCTCGCCGCCGTTGAGCGAGGCGGCCACGAGCGTGTCGTCCGTCTGGCCGAAGCGCGGCGCCGCGCCCAGGTAGAAGATCTGGCCCGTGGGCTTGCGCGTGCGCACGAACATGGAGATGCCGAGCGCGGCGCGCACGTGGCGGCGCGCGGAGGGCGCCACCTGCACGCGCACGCGCGCGCCGCCACGTGCGCCCTCGTGGCCGAAGGTGGCGGCCGCGTACGCGAACTGGCAGCGCGCGCCCAGCCGCGGCCGCGGGCACGTGCACACGAAGCGGCTCCACGCGTCCAGGCACGCGCCGCCCGCCAGGCACGGGTTGGGCGCGCACTGCGCCACGCGCGGGCACGACGCCAGCACGCCGCGCAGCACGGCGCGCGCCCCGCCCTCCTCCTCCGCCTCCCCGTCCTCCTCCGCGCCTCGCTCCTCCTCCTCCTCCTCCCCGCCCGCCTCGGGCAGCACCCACTGCCCGTTCACGACCACGTCCTGGAAGCAGCCCACGAAGTAGTTGGGCCCGTGCGTGAGCGTGGCGTAAGAGGAGCCCGCCGTGCCGAGCCGCGTCGACGGGAACGACGTCACCGACGCGTTGAACGCCTCGTTCTGGCTGATCGGGTAGATGGTCTGCTCCTCGTTGGCCGCAAGCACCAGGTGCGACGAGTTGATCGTCACGAACACCTGTGCACGGATGCTCTCCTCAGTACGGAGTACAGGAAGATTAAAGATTCGTTTATCAAATGACTTGGGATCTTAAGAACAGACATGGGCAAAGACATACAAACGAAAGACACATAGGTCGTACGCAAGCCTTTTATAACAAAAGCTTATGCCGTAAATCCTTTTTTCTTGATCGGTTTGTTAGATTATGGTCAGCCGAATAAGCCATATTGCTTTCGAAGCGACGGGCGTATCGGAGGCGAATAGCCGGAATTTTTAACCGATTAAATTTAATCGGGTTGTGTCATCTCTTAGGATTTGGCTCCTGTTAGTAAAAAAAAGCAAAGGAGAGAAGCAACAGCCTTGGGGAACGCCAGACATGACAGGGCGACTCGTGAAGAGTGTTTAGTGTAGAGTGTACTACTCGATATCTGGCACGATTTCGTGTAAAAGTTTAAACACACTTAGCTTCCTGCACGTTACGTCCTGAAATGTTATTTAACATCACGGATCATGTACCTTTTGCCAATTGCTGTCGTTGAGGTTGGAGCCGATGAAGACGCCTTCCCATTTGTTGAGCAGGCTGGAGTGCAGATTGAGGCGTCCGCTGGAGAGCTCCAGGAAGAAGTAGGTGAGGCCGCGGCCCATGGCCAGCAGTCCGTTGCCCAGTGTGGTCTTGAATCGGAACGAGATGTCGTAGCCCTCCTCTCGCGATGTATTCACCTCCGCGTAGCTGCTGTTCTCCAGCGACATGGTCGTTATCTGAAGTCGAAGGGCAACATTAGTTTGTTTCACAAGTGAAAAACATCCGTGGAACTAGCGCTGAATGAGTGAATGGCATCGCGTTAAATTAAAATTTAAGTGCTTTCGTTAATACCTTCTCGCAGGTGGTGCCGTAGTGTCCTGGCGTGCAGGAGCAGTTGAAGCGGTGCTCGGTCTCGTGGCGCAGCCAGGGCAGGCAGGTGCCGTGGTTGCGGCAGGGCTGGTCGCGGCAGCCCTGCAGCACCACCGAGCAATTGCGCCCGCCCCAGCCCGCCTCGCAGGCGCAGTAGTAGGCGGCGCGCAGGTCGTAGCAGCGCCCGTGCGCGCACGGCGTGTACCTGCGGACACATTCGCCCAGCCGTCACTCGCCTGGCCCCGCGAGCCCTCAAGGTCCGGGGGCCGGGCACCTCACCTGAGGCACTCGTCGATCTCCAGCTCGCAGTGGCGGCCCTCGAAGCCGGGCGCGCAGAGGCAGCTGTAGGCGCCCACGCCGTCCACGCACTTGCCGTGGCTGCACGGCGACGACGCGCACTCGTCCACGTTCACCTCGCAGCGCGCGCCCTCCGTGCCCTCCACGCACACGCACTCGAACCTGCGCACGGCCACGGTCACTTTGGTGCCGCCCGCCTCTTCGTATCAGACCACCGGACGCCTCCACGGGCGCTCGCTCACCCGCTGGCCGTCTCGAGCGAGAAGGGCTGGTAGAAGCCGGCGGGCAGCAGCATGTGCGGCTGCGGGCCGACCTGCAGCGGCGGCGCGTCGGCCGCCCGGTACAGGCTGGTGTTGCTGCGCTCCAGACAGACGCCGCCGTACTTGCACGGCTCGCCCTCGCACTCGTCGATGTCCGTCTCGCAGTTCTTGCCTGGAAGGTGGGGCCGGTCACGAGCCGTGCTCTTGGCCACGTAGCGGTCCGTGCGGGGCAGGCCGCGCTTTACCCGTGTATCCCGGGTGGCAGGCGCAGCGGTAGTCGTTGAGGTCGTCGTGGCAGGTGCCGCCGTTGCGGCAGGGCTGCGGCGCGCACTCGTCGATGTTCAGCTCGCACTGGGCGCCCGCATAGCCGGTGCCCGCGCACTCGCACGTGAACCCGTTCAGCGCGTCCGTGCAGCGCCCGCCGTGCTGGCACGGCTGCGACTGCCGAGTCACCCACCGATTATACCCGAACGTTTTACAACAACAACGGGATTGGAACAATTGACCGCCTTATAGTCCAGACCTGACTTTTCATTTTTTCAAACTGAAAAGGCGTTTACCGGTAGAAGATTTTTGGTCAAGGGTGAAATGAAGAAGGCGGAATTTATATAATGTAATATTTTGTCGGATTGAAACATCGCTATTTAAAAAAGGTAATATCAATTTTTCTGCGAAAAACATAATCGGGAATTGCATGAAAATGTGACAGTTTTTCTTGATAGTGCTAATCTCCGTACTTAAGATGAAACATTAAAATTTGTAGAAAAAAGATCGAAAGTATTGCTCAGAATTTTTTTTTTCGCCTTTTTAGTAAAATTTAAAAGAATTCGTTACTATTTCCGCGCAGACCACACGGCAGGTATAAGCTAGTGAACATTTCTATAGCTATAACATTACTATTATAAAATTTACTGTTTACTTTTATAAGATTGCGTAATACTTAACTGTTACTACAATCGTTTTGATTGGGTGATAATGAATCGGTCATGCAATCAACCGCGAGATGACTGCATTTAATTGAACTCCAACAATCTACTCACTCTTGGCATTTTAATACCATTAGAAGTAATCTAGAGTCATTGAAATTTTAGATTGTCCATTTCCATGACTAAATTCAACAAGAGAGAATCAATTCTCAACCTAGATTAAGTTAGTTAATCAATTGAACCTAGTTAATCAATTGAACGCATGATTAGACAATATTTAATAAAATAAATCTCCAGTATCGGTGGAGCGATGTTCACTACAATCAACATTAAAACAAAACAAATATACATTCTGTTTATGCACAGCAGACTCAGAGTTTTTCTTTAAGTCCTTAATGCAATAGAGGTTTATACTATTTTATAATAAATACCTCGCAATCATCAATGTCAATTTCACAATTAGCTCCCGTTAGGCCATCTTGACAAACGCACGAATATTTAGCGACGCCGTCGACGCAAGTGGAGCCGGCGGCGCAGGGATTAGTTTCGCACTCATTGATGTTTATCGAGCAGTCCTTGCCTAAATAAAGGAATAAGTCATTAGAACTAAAGTCGAAATATTAAAAAACTGCGACAGAAATAGGAAGATTACCTTCAAAACCATCCACACAAGTGCATTCGAAATTGTTTTCCAAGTTCTGACATGTACCACCGTTTTTGCACGGTGACGAAAGACACTCGTCAATATCTTGCTCACAGCTATCACCCGTGTATCCTTTAAATCACAAAACACATTATAAGAATTCCATAAATCAAAGGAGCCTTACGTATGAATATAATAAAAATTCATTATATTATACACACCTGGTTTACAGTAGCATTGATATGAACCTGGCACATTTACACAAACTCCGTGATTACATATTTTAGGCATCAATGCACATTCATCCTTGTCCAATTCACAATACCGTCCTGCGAAGAAAAATAAAATAAATACAGTCTAAGTTTAAACTAAAAACCTTAAACAAAGAATTTCTTTGACGCACCGTTAATTACGAGTAAAAAGCAAAATATTTTCTTTAGATTAAACATGGGTGCAATAATGTCACAACTTCAAAACATGAGAGGCCTAATTAAAAAATACATTCGAAGTAATATTAGTCACACCGCGTAACATCTCGTTTGCACAAGTGATTTGAATCCACTAGTGTATATGAAGCAAATTTTATCGCTACCGAGTGAACCGAACTGTGTGAAGTGAGCGTGTTTATGAATAATATAACAACTAATTATCGTTACGTGTTGAAAATATGCAAATAAGTAAACCAATTTCAAAGAATGTATAACAGTACTGCATTTACATAAAAACCAATAGTAGTTGGAAAAACCGATAAGAGATACTGTATTACCGAAGAAATATATGGACATCACTACTAACGTCACACTTCGCATCGCGTCCTTGTGCTCACGACGTTAAACAACAATAATAATTAGTAGAATTATGTTAACCGTGAATTTAAAGCAATTAAAACGAAAGAATGTGAATATTCGCTGAAGTTTATGTTAAACGTGCATAATGATATTTCCGACGCGGAACTTTTTAAGGTTATGTCGATACCAGAGCGTTGCAAAGAGTCGAGAAAATTATATTGTGAGAATTTACTGCGGAAGTTAATGAAAAATCCGAAAAGATAGTTACAAAAGAAAATTTCACGACACTTCTTGAAAATAATAAAGAAAAACTTATATTTAGTTCCTACTTAGAGCATGAGAAACTCGAGTTAGGTTATTTTAAGTATTACATGAAATCAATAAAAAAAGCAGCGCAAATCAAAGAGAAGCAATATAAAGAAAAGTCCCTGCCACCGCTACCAGAGGTGTTGAAATACTACGTGGATAATGACAAATTATTGCAAGAAAAATGCGAGACAGAAGATTCAAAACAAGAAAACACATTTCAATTACCTTTCGCAAATTCAACAAAAGTTAATATTAAGCTGGAAGACGGGGGACAAATCCAGAAAGACAATAAATTACAATCAGAATTTAACCGATCCAAGATAAATCAATGGATGACAAATTATGAACATTTTGATGACAGCAAACTAACAGCTCTTGAGTTAGAGGACGAAGAGACATTAGAACAAGAATGGTGCAAAAACTATGGAACCCCAGACCCAATAGTTAATATTAGTCAAGTGCCATGTGGAGGCTGTGGAGCTTTACTACATTGTAATGATCCAGCAATCCCAGGGTACCTGCCAAGTGAGATTTTTAAGGGTCGCACCAAGAAAGACTTGAAAGGTATAGAATGTCAGCGATGTCATTTTCTAAAGGAATATAATATTGCATTGGATGTGACTGTACAGCCCGATGAATATGAGAAACTTTTGCAAAACATAAGGTACACCAAAATAAGTGCATTGTTACAAAAAATTAAGCTTCTTAGTTATATATATACATATATATAGATGTCTATTTATCATTGATTAGTTAGTGAAATTTAATGACATTTAAGTTAGATAAACATTTTGTTCATCCCTCCTTCTAATTAAATTATTTCTAAAAATTTGTTTACATTATATTTCATTTATTGTGTTCCTAAGCTAAAAATAAATGACTTTTAATTTCGACATATCAATTATCTAACAAAGCTTATATATTTTTCTAGGCATATTAAATCCTTAGTGCTACTGATGGTGGACCTGATGGATTTCCCCTGTTCAATATGGCCGGGCATTGTTGATATCATTGGCACCACAAGGCCTCTCATAATTGTAGGGAATAAGGTATGAACCATTCACTTATATTTTCATAATTTAGTTTTAAGAGTATTTAAAATGTGTCATAATACAACATTAGAGGCAACAGAGAAAAACTTCCTGTGCATTTTCTACAAAATTGTAATGTTTCATCTTAAGTGCAGAGATTAAGCCAATTAAAAATTTAAATTATAGGCAACATTTACAAGTGTTTGTGTGTTGATTTATTGTTTACTTTCTGGCAACAATTCAATCAATAGTTACATTTATCAAAAAAATACATAATTAAGTATCATTTATACATATTTTGCTTAACAAATAATGTGAACTATTACAGGTGGTTATCTAAAACGCGTCAAGGAATCTTTTGTGACAGAAATAAACAAAACAATGTTGAGCAAAGCAAACATAAAACATGTTTCCCTAGTATCTGCAAAGACTGGATATGGAGTTGAGGACTTAATATCAGCAATGTTCAAGTTGTGGATGTACAAAGGAGATGTATTCCTTGTGGGTTGCACTAATGTGGGAAAGAGTTCACTGTTTAATGCACTTTTGCAGTCTGACTACTGCAAAGTCCATGCAGTAGACATTGTGAAGAGAGCCACAGTCAGCAGATGGCCTGGCACAACTCTGAATCTACTTAAATTTCCAATTAATAGACCTTCAGGATGGAAAATACATCAAAGACATAAGAGACTGAAAGCTGACGCCAAACTCCTGAAACTTGAAAATGAAATAAGGAAAGGGCAAGTGAAAGGAAAAATTTTTATCGAAGCACCGTCATTAATTGGACACATTGGTAGAACATTTTCAATACCATTAGATATTGAACTAAATGACAGTAAACCACCTCCAATGGTTATGGATGAAAACAGTGAACTGTTTGCAAAGAGTAAATGGTTTTATGATACACCAGGAGTAATACATCCAGATCATGTATTATCCCTACTCAGCACTGAAGAGCTGTTGCTGACAATACCAAAAAATACAATAAGGCCACAGACATATTATTTACATGTGGGATATACATTATTTATTGGTGGCTTAGCTCGTGTGGACTTTATTGACAGCTTAGAACCCTGCCGTTTTACTATATTCTGCTCTGAACATCTACCTATAACTGTTGTGAAGACTGAGGATGCAGACGAAATGTACAAGAAATTTTTAGGTACAGAGCTATTTGCTGTACCTATGGGAGGAGTCGAGAGGCTAAATAATTGGCCTGGTTTGGAAAGGAGAGAAGAAGTCTTAGAATTTACTGGACACGGACCGAAAAGTTGTTGTGGAGATATAGTCCTGTCTTCAATATGTTGGGTTGCAGTAACTGCTAAACATGAGACATTGTGTAAAGTTGTTGCATGGACACCTGAAGCTAGAGGCATACATAAACGTGTTCCTTCAGTGTTGCCATATGCCATAAACTTGAAGGGAAAAAGAATTCGTGATACACCGGCGTATAGGGTGGGAAATGTGTATAGAGACGATAATGTATGACTGTATTTTATTTAACACTACAAATAAAACAGTGAGTAGATTACAGTTGTTATTTATTTATGTATTTAACTAGCGACCCGCCCCGGCAACGCACGGGTGCAGTGTATTATACATATAAACCTTTCTCTGAGATCACTCTATCTAGTAAAAAAAAACCGCATCAAGATCCTTGGCGTAGTTTTAAAGATCTAAATTAAGTGACAAATAAAAAATAGGGGTTGATTGTAGAGGGGTGAACAATTAAGAGTAATATGAAATTGTTCATTCTAAGTCATGACAAAATAAAAAAAAAACTTACCAAAAAAATAAAAGTTTTTAATTAACAAATAGCGGTTGATCGTAGAGGGGTGAAAATTTAGGGTTGAATGCATTTTTGTATGCTGTATCCTTAAAAAACATAAAAAAAAAAATGGTCATAAAAATAAAATTAATGTGTGGACCACCCTTAACATTTAGGGGGATGAAATATAGATGTTGTCCGATTCGCAGACGTAACCGATATGCACACAAAATTTCACCAAAATCGGTTGAGCCATTTAGGAGGAGTTTAATTACAAACACCGTGACACGAGTATTTTATATATTAGACTTTTACACAAATCTGGTGTGGATGCAGACTTAATGCTTGAGGCATTCTCTACCAATCAACCCATTAGGTGGAGCCCAGATAAAAGTGGCCTAAAGAAGTATAATAACTTCAAAAAAATTAACAAATTTAAAAAGTAATATCTTTTAAAGTTAAAAGTAAAACAATTTAGCAAGGAAAATGAACAATGAATTATGAATAAGAATAAATTGCGATAAACTTAATTTTCATCAATTGGAAATTGATATAGGTATATTTATATGGAACATAGTTGATACTGTTTGTGAATCATTTGGTTCGCAAAGGTATCAACTATGTTCTAACAACAAAAGACGATATGAAGTTAAATGCAAATGAACAATAAAATACACAGAAACTAGAAAATAATTATCAAATAGGTAATTAAAGAATAGTTTTAGTGTGGTAGGTACTAGCAGCAGATTCACCCATTGCAAGAACGTTGCACATTTTTAACGCATCAACCATCCATCGGGTGTTGTAGATGTCCATGGGCGGTGGTATTCATTTAACATCAGATGAACCGCCAGCTCATTTGATAACTTTTCACACAAAGAAAAGCGCGTCGGAAGTACCACGAGCCCACAGAAGAAAGGCACTCCATTGTGGAAGTTTTTACAGGTTGACAATGGATTTGGACGATCAGCGCCGCAGCGGCAACTGTTGTGGACATAGTTCCATTGGCGGTAGTAATCACTAATATTAAGAAAACCATTTGCTCGCTTGCAAACTTATCAAACATGTTCGGGTTAAGTAACCGAACACTATGTGTAGTCGCATGTGTGTACCTACTCGACTCCAAAAAATTTGTAATATAAAGACGGTATACCACTAACTCGCGTGTCAGCCGGGTGCACCAAACATTACCGACTAAAAAAACATTACTTTTTCTAACAATAACTAACATTTTAACATTAAGAATATTTTGTGCCATCTAAATAAATTATTTTAATATCACTGTATAATTAACTTTACCGTAATCTTGCCACCGCGACAATGGTCCTTCAAGCCAGATTAAGTTTAAAACAGGCTGTGATCGATTTTTAATAAATCATAAAATGTTGCCGATGCCTCGAGTGTCCTGCTAAGTGAGAAGGAAAATGGCTCTAGAAGTAACGAAAGAAGCTGCACGGACCTGCGGTGCCGGGGGGGCACTGGCAGCTGAAGAGGCCGGAGTCGAGCGCCAGGCAGGTGCCGTTGTGGCAGGGCGAGGAGGCGCACGCGGACTCGGCGCCCGGCGCCGCGCAGCGCCACTGGCCCCCCTGCTCCACGCACTCCTGCGCAGCGCCGCATCGGTTACAGTTATGAAAACGGGCAAATCCTGCAGCCGATTGTCCCGCAACCGATTGTGGTACCTGCACGGGCCGGTGCGGGCAGCCGAGGGCGCGGCAGTCGAGCAGCAGGTCGCACTGGGCGCCGCCGTAGCCGGGCCGGCACTCGCACGCGGCGGGCGGCACGCACGTGCCCCCGTTGAGGCAGGCGCGCACGCACTCGCCCGCCTCCGCGGCCGCCGCCGCCACGTCGCAGCGCGCCCCGCCCCAGCCCGCCTCACACTCGCACCGGAAGCCGCCGGGGAGGTCCCGGCAGGCGGTGGCGTGCAGGCACGGCGCCGCCGAGCAGCGCTCCGCCTTCATTTCGGAGAGCGCCTTGCCGGCCGCCGCGCCCCCCGCCGTCCCTGCGCCCCCCGCCGGCCCCACCTCGCAGTACGCGCCTGCACACACACACACCAAAGGATTCACGACGACCGCCAACGCCCTCTATCGCTCCACTAGGACGACACGGAGACGAACGGAGAAAGCCACGAACGACGATGCAACACGCATGCTCGCTTCGACGGGACGCCATTCCATGGATTGGGTGAAATCGAAAAGAAAAAACATCAAACACCAAAACTCTCTAAGCTACGATCATACAATAAACTAATCGACGACCATTCGATACATCGCTTACGGGAGAACACAAAAATGCAGATGCCAGTACGGTTGAAATTGATTAATCGGTCATGTTAGTTATCGCTACGTGATATGGTTAACTTGATCGATTAGTCGACTTCTGCATATGGCAACGGCGACGAAGGCCGTCGAAGCGGAAAGGCGTAGGCAGGAGGGGGAGACACTGAGATGCGATCGAACTATGGCTCGGAGCCCTCGGGGCGGGTGCACTAACTGTTATAACCTGCGCCGGCCGCTCCGAAAAAAACCCACTGTCAACAACCACGCCCCCAATGGCGTTCCACCCTCTGTAAAAAGAGGAATACATGGTGTCATTTCACACTACCTGCTCCTGAATTTTAATAAATCCGCAGAATTTGTAAAGAAATTAAATTTGATGTAACAGTAGTACAAATGTATAAACATTAGTTCTCTCGTAACTCTTCCATAAATTTACTTTATTAAATACAATTTACCTCTGAAGCCCGGCGCGCAGAGGCACTCGACGCGGTCGGGCAGGCGCGTGCAGGTGGCGCCGTTGAGGCAGACGCCCGCCTCGCAGGCGGCCTCGGGCGGCTCGCACACGGGCGCGCGGCCCGGCACGCCGTAGTAGCCGAGGTCGCACACGCAGATCACCTGCTTGCTCACCACCGCGCCCGCCACCATGCCCGGCAGCCCGAGCGAGTGCGCGTCGCGGCAGTGCGAGCGCGCCGGGCACTGCAGCTCGGCGCAGCCGGACGGCGGGGCGGGGGCGGCGGGCGGCGCGAGGGCGGCCGGCGTCGGGGGCGGCAGCGGCGCGTCGCACAGCGGGGGCGCCCAGCCGCGCGCGCACACGCAGCGGTAGCCGGCGCCGCCGCCCTCCTCGACGCAGGCGCCGCCCGCCCCGCACGGGCCCGACGCGCACGCCGACATCTTCTGGCACTGGTCGCCCGTGTAGCCGGGCAGGCAGGCGCACACGTAGCCGCCGTACGTGTCGTAGCACACGCCGTGCCCGCACACGGCGCGCTCGCCCGCGCACTCGTTCACGTTCGCCTCGCACCGCGGCCCGCTATAGCCTGCCCGAGTGTACGCGCATCTTACGCCTCGTTCGCACCCAATAGACTGGGACTTGGTTCGATCCTCACTCTTTTATACTTTACATTGTGCATTTCAAATAAACAAGAGTCAATATGTAACAATAGTCAATGTATATATAACAATAGTCAATGTTAAACTGAAGTGATTTATAAGACTCTAATTAATCTACAAATTTGTGTAAGATACTTTGTGGATGCCTCATCTTGCAAAGGAATATAAACAAAATAATAAGAATAAAAGATTTACCAGTGCCAGCGCAGTCGCAGGTGTAATTGTTGACCGCGTCGAGGCAGCGGCCCCCGTTGAGGCAAGGCGCGCCCGCGCACTCGTCCACGTCCGTCTCGCAGTTACGTCCCGTGAAACCTGCACGGACACAGGTCATTGCCATAACAATCGACGCATTTCACATAGTAATTTATAGAACACCATGTCTAAGGATTTTATCATTACGTATTCTTACCAATTTTAAATTTAAAAAGGTCGTATTAAATCGGGACGCAACAGTTTGCTTATTACAAGTGAATCTCGATAGGATCAAGCGTTCCGCAAGGCTTTGACATGGTGCCGCTACTGTAGCGGTGGGTACCGGGCGGGCAGGCGCAGTGGTAGGTGTCCGCGCCGGGGGGCACGCTGCAGCTGCCGTTGTTGCGGCAGGGGCCGGCGACGCACACCGGCTCCAGCGACTCCTCCAATTCGCAGTGCACCCCTGACACAAAATTTACATAAGCTAAAAGTCAATTTAAAGTGCCTCGTGTCACTTTTTTAGGCTTTCAGATTTATCGATTAAGTTACGATTAAAAACATTTTTCCTAACAATCAATCTTACGTTCACGACATGTAAACTATGTATTATTTTTGGGTGAATTACTTGAAATTACTTTTGAAAGTAACGTCCCCAAGGCGAGACAGGCACAAGTTGGACACAGAACACAGGCTGGGTTACCGTGGAAGCCGGGCGCGCAGAGGCAGGCGTAGTCGCCGGCCGCGTCCTCCAGGCAGCGCGCGCCGTGGCGGCAGGGCGCCGACTGGCACGGGTCGCCCGCGTCCACCTCGCAGTTGTTGCCCGTGTAGCGCGCCGTGCAGTGGCACTCGTACCTGCCGCAGGGCGCACGCTCCCTTCAGACCATGGACACGTGCTCACGTGCTCGGACGGAAGGCGGCGAAGCGGCCGACAATCTTCGTCAAACGTCTATCTACGTTCCTTCCATTGCACTCGTGACGTTTCATTTTGAATGCAGACTAGCACCACAAGCAGAAAATAATCTCGAAATATTTTAAGAGCACTGGCGATATCTCTTGTAACAAATGTTCATCGTTGAATGTTATTTGTAAGGTGTTGTATGCCGTAAAAGAACAAACATAGAAATAGAAACAGCTATTGAGCTACATATGTGTATACTTCAATATGATCTAGTAGTGACCTAATAGTTCACTTTGGAATCCTAGGTCGGTCAATAACTAAGTTAATATAAAAATACATTATTGATTGATGATCATTTTGTCAATCGTGTGCTTGTTAAATCTTTTGGATAACCTGTCGTGTCTTGAGATGCAGGTGCCATGTCTCATGCAGGGCTCGTTGTAGCAGTAATCCTTCGGGGGTATCCGCAGTACGTCTTTTCTGTCAATACCTGCAAGTAACCATAAACCAGTGCAGATTTGATTGTACTGTAATATGAATTTATTTAAACTTACCAATATTCTTATTTCAACACATCCAAATGTTAACCTTACATGGAATGTGGTTAGTTTAAGTACTGATTGTCCAAAAACAGAATGAAAAGTATTCGATGTATTTTATGCAGGTAATGATAAAAGCCGTGTTGCTTATTAATAAGTGAAAGAAAATATAATAACTTTAAGAAATAAAGAATCTACCTTTTTGTTTAAAGAAAATGTACCTAATGAGAGTCATCTGATAAAGATCAATGATAAACCACCATTGATTCGGTGCTCTGTGTCCGCGTTATTAACCGGTCGGCAGCGACTCCCTTAACTTGGTCATACGATTGGGGTGCACACTATTTCTCAAACCAAGCGCTTTGCTCGCTCCGATCTCGCAGAAGACCGGCGTAATAATGAAGTAATCATACTTTCGTGTCCAATTCGTTCAGTAGCCTTATGGCCACCCTTTTAAATTTACCAACACACCAGCACCTGCTTTCGAGTCGACTTGTTTAGTGATATCTTGAATTAGTAGTTAGTTCCTATTCTACTCTATTTAAAAAAAAACATATGTGCATACATACATTCGTCGGTGGTGAGCGGGCACTGGCCGAAGACGACGTTGCGCGTGTGCGCGTTCGCGGCGTGGAACTCCAGCTGCGGCCCCTCGTGGATGCAGCCGCTGAACACGTTGCCCACGAGCAGCACCGCGCCCTCGGCCTCCAGCCCGCTGGGGCTCAGCAGCTCGGGGTTCCAGGTCACGTTCGATATCACCTGCCGCGGCGAAGAGCGACGCGCGTTCATTCACCGCCCCCACGAATATGGTTATCGTGGGCCCACGCAGCGACTTCTGCTGCTGCAGGAGTGGGCCCTCGGAAGTACTACGGCCTGACAGAAGACCGGCGTGAAGTGGATGTATTATACTTTCGCGTTTCGTCTGGGATGTATTATAATTTCTGAGGTAACCGGGGCCTCGTTCAAAACGTTGGTAACACCTCAAACCCTTCACAACGTTGGCAAACCCACGGCTATCGCAACTTTCACATAAAAAGACCCCGGACGATGTAGTGTCAACAAAATACATGTACAACTTTCTCAATTTCATTTTGTTTTTGTATTTAGGTACCTGACATTTGCTGTTGTTGTTACAAGTTTGAAAAATAAAAATAGTTAATTTGCATAAAACATTGTATATATTAGTTGTTAAACTTTTAGAACAGCATGTTTTGCCGCATCCATGTCTCATAAATAATATATGTACGATACATAATACTAATAAACGTATTTTAGATCTTGTTATTACTTATACAATATTAATAATTATATGAAAGAGCCGATCTGTGAGCATTTCTGTGCATCATCCATAACTCGGCATGCGTGCTCGCTAGCCTTTCCGTCGTTTACCGCTGCGATGGCATATTACGATGACGTCATATGCCAATGTTGCCGGAAGAGCGGGCGGCGTCCGTGCGCCCCATAAGAAACGGCCTGGCTCTTTTTCTTACAATTTACATTCGCCATAGAGTTTGCGGCAATCAATTTCGATCCTTTTGTTCTCCGCTCGGACGCGCAACGACAAAGCGATACTTAATTTGGCATTGTCTCAAAGTCCATTACCCCGCCCGGTCATTGATCAACGCTTCGAGACTTTTTACACGTTTTGCAATTTGCATTAAATCAAAATAGATTCACACCAAATTGGAAGACATCTGTCGTAACTCAGTTAGTCACTTATTTTAAAGTGTGAAACTACGTTGACTCTTTCACCTAGTTACTTTGCGGTTTGCCGGAACCTAACGCGTTGTCAGTTGCAATTTTATGGCGTGTTTTATGTAAAAGTTATACGTTGACGTCAACGTAGCCTCATTACGTAAGCATCATTGTCAATGTAATTCTTTTAACAAACCACGGCAATTAATTCGAAATGAAGTTATAACAATATCAAAAAATTAAAAAAAAAATAAAGATCACATTTAAATTTTTTTATATGTCATTTATTATGTACGCTTAATTTATTGGAGGAAATGGAACTGTTTTTTGTATTCAGATTCAAGCGACATTATACTTTATAATATCTGATAACATTTTTAAATGTGTATCTCGTTCGTTTCCAAGCCTGTGAAATCCAGCTGCTCCACGAGTTCTGCGTTCGAAGGGTCCTCAAAAGTCTACTGACTGAAAGGGAAATCAGTCATATAAACAAAGACAGTCTCCTTGTTTATACCTTTCGTGAGGAACCTACCACAATACCGATAACATACCGCGATAACACACCACCTCACCTGGGTCTCCCTGTCGACCTCGAGGAGTAGCGACAGCGGCTCCGGCCGGTAGCGGAGCGCCACCCAGTGCCAGCGGTTGTCCAGGGTCTCCTTGGCGAGGCCCACCTCGCGGTAGGGCTGCCCCGGCCGCGCCCACGACACCACCACCTGCTCGTACAGGGCCGTCACGTGCAGCGTGTAGCCCTCGAAGCGCTGCAAGAACAGCTCCCCGCCTGCGGCAGCGACGAACGGTCACGCGAAACGGCTCGCCTCAAAGTCAACAAAGTGCATTAGCTTGAAAAGAGAAAGAAAAAAAAAATATTTGCGCTTTCTTCCTTCGTTCGATTTTTCTTTCGTTTTCATCTATACTTTTTCTCCTTACGAATGTACACACAAGGCAGATTTTTAAGTACCAAGTTTAAAAATCGCAAGCGTTTGATGATAGATGATCGGATATCTTCATAATTATGAAGTGTTATCATGCTTTATATTTAATTATTTTAAACACCATACTTGACTCCATTGCGCAGTTGCTAAGGTGTTGGCTTCGACGCCGGGGGTTGTGGGTTCGATTCCCAATCGAGATCACTCTAGGGATCCCACCCACAGATAATTGTTTCGAATCTGGGTGTTCTAGTGAAATTTATGTTTGTAAAACGAGCTTACTTACTTTGGATATTGTCATCCTAAAGTGAGGGCAAAGTATTTAAAAAACACTAAAACAGCATACAAGTGTACGACAAGTGATCACCTTCGCTCATTCACGCTAAGGGTGTTGCAGAAATCTTGCCAAACTATAAAACGTTGAGCCTTCGAATAGACCACTCGCCGAACGAAAAGAAAATATGGAAATAATTTTAGTTCCTCCCGTTCTTCTGTGCTTCAACTTCCGCGGCCGAGACGACCCATTAAAGGAAACAGCATACCCGCTACGTGGCAATAACGTATGCACGTAATAATGTCTTCATCCACAATACAACTGTCCGGAACGTGTGGATCCGACATAATGGAACACAATAACGCCGTTAGAAGCCAAACATGCTACTATGCGACAAGGCGCGCGGGGATTTTAAATGCCCACTAACAAATAGCCTCGATCGAGCATGAAATCCGTGTAATTTCGCGATAGTGTAAGGAGGAACCTTTGTACGTAGCTAACGATGTAGGTGTAAATCTAGGGCTAAGCGGTGCCTCAAGTCAAAGTCAAGTCAAGTCAAAATCATTTATTCGAAGTAAGATTTTTTCAAACCGTTTTTCGACGTGTTACAATATGTCTTATAATATGGGTCTCTCATGCCGTGCTGGAGTATCGGAACACCAAGCCTCTTTGTCATTTAAATAATCATCTAACTTATAATAAGCTTTTTTAAACAGTGTCTGCTTTACAATAAATTTGAACTTTTTGTCCGGTAGATTTAAAATATCATCAGGAATTTTGTTGTAGTAGCGCACACAGAGCCCCACGAATGAAGTCCTAACCTTAGCTAGTCTACAGCGAGGAAGAACTAAATTATTCTTGTTTCTTGTATTACGGTCATGAATATCAGAATATTTACTAAAGTCATGGATATTCTTCCTAACATACATAATATTTGCAAAAATATATTGACATGGAACTGTGAAAATCTGTATCCTCTTAAATATTTTTTTAAGCGAGTCCCTACAGCGAAGTTGATAAATTGCTCTAACAGCTCTCTTCTGCAAAATGAAGATGGATTCAATATCAGCCGCTCGGCCCCATAGCAGGATACCATAAGACATAACGCTATGAAAGTAGCTAAAATAAACTAATCTGGCCGTTGCTTCGTCAGTTAACTGTCGAATCTTTCTAACTGCATATGCAGCCGAGCTAAGCCTTCCTGACAGAGAAGATATATGGGGACCCCATTGGAGTTTTGCATTAAGCCGTTCATTCATTATTCAATACAATTCCTAAACCATCATTACTTTTCACGTTTGGCAAAGTAAATTTAATTTAGTCTTTTTAGCATTCAGTACTAGGTTATTTACAGTGGACCAATTGTGAATTAGTTGAAGAGTGTTATTTTTGTCATCGTAGTTACTAGTTTTTCTACAAATTTTAAAAATAAGAGAAGTATCGTCTGCAAATAATACTATGTTTGTCAGATCCTGCACCACATGTGGTAAGTCATTTATATAAACTAAAAATGTCCTAACACTAGTCGAAACATATCCATGGACGACACACATGCAAATTATTAAAAAATATTGGTTTAAGCACTTGTTGCTTAGACTTTTAGGGTGTGCGAAAACTTAGCACGGAAAACGTCATTGAAACGTTGTCAGTAAAATGAAAATACAAGCAAAACAGTGGCTGACCGTTAGGTCAAAACGTGGTGAATGTTCAAAGTTTAAAATGAACTACTACGAATTATATTTATTCTCATTTCTAAAACTTCTGTTTTATAATGTACACATTAATACGTGAAGCAAATACTTTGTACCCCTTTTTTACGAAAATTGCGGACGGAGGAGTATGAAATTTCGCACATTTATACTTTATACAAAGGAGTGGAGAATGCTTATATTTTTTTTAAATGATGCATACATTATATAAATATAGAAAGCATTACACACCCTACCATGCATATTTAACACAACGCAAATATACTCGATTGTTTATTGTGTATTGTATTAATATTCTTAAGAGAATGGATTAACATTCTTCAAACTTATAATTTTAATCAATTATGGTGGAATTTCGACCACTCGGCGTCCCCTAATTATTGTAAATCTACGTACTGAATATGGTCAAGGCTTGCCGGTATTATAAAGGACGATGATCCGCTCAACGTTACGTAATCTTCTAAAGCATCTTCGACTTATGACGATTATTAACAGAAGTCAAGAAGGTTTTATTATATAATATGAATACTTCTGTAATCGTATGGAAATACAACCATCTTGACGTAATGCCGCCTCAGTCGGCAGTTACGTGCTCTCTCCTAACGGCGCAAAAAACTTGCGTTACTCAACTCGCGCGCAACCAGAGGCGATATGATTGATTTATGCACTCGCAATCTTCGCTCGTAGCAAATTCGAAGCGATCGGGGAAATACCTCGGCGATTGCACCTACACAATTTCGAACTCACAAAATAACACATATTACGAACGAAACAAACTCGTAACGTAACATCTATTATACAGCGTGTCGTTATCATCGCGACAATAAATGAACACACGTCTAACGCTACTTGCCAATGATCATAGAAAAAAATATAAACGTTAAACAAAATCCATAATTAAAAAAAATAATTTTCAAACAAACTAATTAAGCAATAAAGAAACAAAATTTGTAACATCCTATACAACTCACGCCACAGCGTCGTATTACAAGCCTCTCATTCTAACATACTGTTACTTACTGTGTTTTGTCTCTTTTAAATTCATTCAACCCAGTCATATGCTTTGTGACCTTTACAAATGAACTTTACGTTACGCTTTTATAGGTAAGGGTGTTCTAAAATTCTGTGTTTTGGAAAATTTTATAACTCTGTAAATATTGATGTTAAAAGAATTTAAATGTTTAATACAACTTTAAAAAGTTATCCCCTATATGTGTGTTCATTTATTGTCGTTTATTGTGGTAACGACACGCTTTATAATATAGATAGGTTACATGCACAAATAACTAAGTGTAAACAATTTTCAGCCCTATAATCTCGGACTCATAGAACAGGACTAAGGTATCCCCTGTCTGTCGTAAAAGGCAACTAAAAGGGGACGCGGACTGGTAGCAGCACGAAGTGGTCTCGAGCTGCTGCAAGATGGCGAAGGAATCGGGGTCGGAAGCGTGAACACGCGCAGTACCGAGGGACACGTTCCGTAGGAGATCCCGGAGTCCCTCCAAGCGTACAGGAAGTGGTCACCGAGATGGTTTTAGTGGGTAAGAACCCCACATAACCCTGTCATGTAAGGTGGCAGTGTATCTTTCGAAGATTCCCCCCTGCCCCCGATACAAAAAAACGTGTATACAATTTTAAACATTTTGTAAAACCTAACGGCAAAGGCCTATTATAATTTCTAAGAATAAATTGAGGACAAGAATGTGTGGAAATGACTCACGCTCTTCATTTGCAAGTCAAGTCCTCTGGCTGCTGTTGATTATATACTTAAAAAGTTTTGAATAGTTGAACCATTAAAAACGATAACAAGACCGCAGAGTTTCTTGCAGATTCTTCTCTGGTCCGATCTAGTATAGTGAACGGGTGGTAACTTTTTGACGTTCAATAAGAGCTTAAATTGAGAGTATATTGAATAAAGACATTTTGTCTTTGAGTAACTGTGGAGTATGGAGGTAGGTTCACATTTTCGATGCCTTCACGCTGTTACCATTGTTATTTTTGAAGTTTACACTCGTTCACTGTTTTAATTCCAATTATTAAAGAGTTATAAATTTATCCCTTCGCAGCAAGCCAATGCATGAGAATCTGTACAAGAGTTAAAATTCATTAAATTCTTCCGCATAGGCGCCAAGTTAATCCTACTTAGGTATAACGGGATTCCCTAATGAGTTTTCTAGTCGGAGGGGTCTTTCAACCTCGATATACAACAAGAGTTTCATCATCTAATCACAAAGAAAAATATGGAAAGTTTCCAAAATTTAGCGAATTTAATAGTTTATTAAGAAAATCTGTTTAAACAGTAACGCCCGGTTTCTGAAAGACTGATCATCGCTGATGTCAACTAATCAGCTGTCAAATGGCTTTTCAAATGTATTTTAGTTGCCAAAAGGATTGTTAAACTCTCTGAATTGACCAGAGTGATCTTCTTAATGATCAGAATGATCGATTCAAAGAGTTTAACAATCTTTTTGGCAACTCAAAATACATTTGATAAGCCATTTGACAGCTGATTAGTTGACATCTGCGATGATCAGTGTTTCAGAAACCAGGGGTAAATTTGCAATAGCTAATAGGTAAAGAATTAATAGGCTATCTTTGATATGAATGTGCTTGCATACTGTTCACTGATTCATTAATTCCCGCCATTACGGGCGCCATGTTGACATTGTTTCGTGTTGACACCGCGGCCGTTTAATGTGCGAACTCCGGTCGGATTTTGTCACGCAACCGACTTGAATAAATGATTAGTGTATTAAAGATATCTTTCATTGAACAATGTTTTTCGTCGGCTCAATTGAAATAGTTATTGATTGGGGTCATTTTAATGGTCCAACCGAGTGTTCTCTGCTTTGCCTTTCGCAGGGTCATAGTCGCATTGTTTAACTAATTCGGCATGCAGCACCCTTAAACACCCGTTATTTCCGTCGCGCCCGTCGATTAGAGGGCGTGTGTGCCAACCATAATTGGCGATAATGACCGTCACAGATAATAACGACCCAGTAGTGATGGACCATAGACAACATTTAAGGCGAGCATAATTCGGACGATTGGTCCATGGGGCAACTTACCGACGCACGTGCGGAAGCTGAGGCCGACCAGCTGTTTGAGGGAGATGGGGCGCGAGAGGCGGATGTAGGAGCTGCCGTTGAAGTAGGCCTCCGGGCGGTCCGAGGGGCCCACGGGGGCGGCGCCCTGGGCCCCGGGGCCCGCCAGCGCCCACACCACCAACGCCAAGTAGCAACCTGCAACAGGCAAGGCAAATAAATGAGAGGCGGCTCCACAAATATGTAGTACGATCCGATTGGCGTGGGGAGTAGTCAAAATACCCCTTGCGCCAGAGGGTGTGGGTTCGTTCCCCAGTACTGGAAAATATTGTGTGATGAGTTTTTCCACTGTCTGGATGTTTATATATGCATAATATGTATTTATTTACAAAAGAAAAGTATGTTTAAGTATGTTAATCATTTTCCTTTATTCCTAAATTATTTCTTTTTCAATCCATCCAAAGGTTGCCTGGAAGAAATTACTCTTAGTAATAAGGCCGCCCATTGTACCCATTACTTCTACATTAAGTTTTAATTTTTGTTTGTTTTATTTGGTGTGCAATAAAGTATATTCATTCATTCATTCATTCATTCATTCATTAATCGTCGTACTCGATCCAAACGTCAATGGCGACTTTCGCCATTTGATATTGCCAACGGCCCGCGTTGTACCAACATCAGCTGCGGGGCCCATGGTGAGCGGGTCGGCGGAATATTATGCTAACACATTATCTAACAGAGTACGCAGACGTTTGAGGCCGTGAGTCATAGTGGCCGAGGAACCAAGACCGGTTTTCGGAATTATTGCCTAAACTAAAGTCTTATACGTCAACATTCTGTGAGCCGTGATAGCCCAGTGTCCGGGCGCTCGCCTTTAATTCAATATACTCGAGCAACCTGAGTTCGATCCCCGGTGCCGGCACCAATGAAGTTTTTAACTTTAAGTGCTGACTTTTCACGTGCTCCGCGGTGAAGGAAAACATTGTGAGGAAACCTGCATATTTTCGAAATAATAACAAAAGAAATATTTTTCGAAGATATGTGAAGTCCGCCAATCCGCAGTGGGGCCGCGTGGTGGACTATGCCCTGATACCCTCTGTATAGAGGAGGCCGTTGCCCAGCAGTGGGACATGTATAGGCTGTTACTTTAATTTACTTTTACGTCAACATTCGTAGTAGGCTCGTGTGACCTCACATTGCGCACAAACACAACGGTTGTGGGTTGACGGCTCGAGATACGTTGCAAAAATTTCGTAATGCAATTCATCCAACTGCTAATATAGGTATGGTGACGGGATTAACAAATTAACGGGATTAAGCGACTTCTGAAAAAAGTTTGGGAAGAATTTACATCATCATTAGTTGTTTTTTTATTTGAAAAGGTGCCAAGCGGACTGGCGGTTCACCTGATATTAAATGATAACCGCTGCCCCTGGATATTTGCAATAGCCGTAGGGTTGCCACTTTTTAAAAAAGTGGGGCGCCCCGGTTACCTCACTTCCGGAACGCAAAAGTTTTACACTTCCACTTTACACCGGTCTTCTGTGACTTCGTGGTACTTCCCCGAACGTACCTACCTGCCCATTCGTGCAACAGCGAAGACTGTTGCGTCGCCCTACCACAGTACAATCGACCACCAAAAGTCTTATCTCCAAACCCTTCAGCATCGAGCTATTTTGTCTTACAACAGAATCTCTACTAATATTATAAATGTGAAAATAAGCTTGTTTGTTATGCTTTCACGCCAAAACTACTCGACAGATTATCATGAAATTTTGTATACACATATTCTTAGAGGTATTAAAAATGACATAGGATATTTTTATTAAAAAAAAGAAATTTATTAAAGGGCTTCAACGCGAGCGAAGCCGCGGGTGAAAGCTAGTAAATAATAACTAATAGCTGCCTAGCTTAACCAACTGGTGCCCGAGTCTATCATCATCAGCGTCACCTAAGCGGTCGGCGATGACGCGTTTCGTCTGCGAGTCGGCGCGTTAGGAGGCGTGCGTGGGTGGAGGAGGCCCATTCGCAATATTCGCATTCAGCACGCGACGCGGATGGGTGTGGGTGCGCGGGGCCCCGCGTCAATACCGCCATTCGATCACGTCGATTCAATGAACGAGATTATATGTGCAATGCACAAAGCACCTAACCAAATTGTGATTCAATGTAAACACTGTATTCTATCCCAATCATAAGTAATTTTTTTATCATACGCGAGCGGCGTTTAGTTCTCACTATCGCGAGGTATATGCAGCAATCCATAAATATATACATAAATCAAATAAATCGTTTAAAAGCGCAAGCTTCGAGTGCGTTTGTTCCTTTTCACGCCGACACAACGGATTTGATTGCATCTTACGTTCCATAGAAAGCAGACTTTTTATCTACATATAGACGCATATTACACCTAATTCATTACACTAAAACCTACGTAGATCATTGTGAACACTACTAACGCATGCAATTAATTATTCAAAGGCGAAAAAGGGAGTATAACATTTAATTAGCACGCCATCCATATTATTGAAAGAGATGAATAGGAATTTTGTTATTAATTGCACGAATGGTACGTGACTAAGTAATGTCAGGCAAATGCCTCGCATTCATTGCCAAAACAGTCAAAAACACATCTATTTATCAAAACATTCTTATATAAAGGTCGTAGGTAGAAATCCACTATTTAAATAATCACGCAGACAAAGCCGTGGGTACAAAGTAGGAAAATGTATATAAGTACAAGAACTTAAAAACCTTTGAAAATCTCATTTCCCAAAAAATGTATCTTTAACTTTTAGAAAGAGAACTTTAATAACAAATAAATGTTAACATAGGATAGACATTTTCATATTATTTTAGTACGATAAAACAGATTTCGTTCTGTTTGCAAACAGCGTCCATTGTTCTCGAATACAACGGTGCCGTGGCGGCGAAATTGACACGCTATCTTCAAGCATCTCGTTCTGCCTCCGTGGGCGAACTCGGAGGACAGTCCGCGAACAAGATTGCATTGTCTCTGAAGAAATAAACATGTACACCTTGTCTTTCTTACCATGTGAAACTCATTGGGAGTAGAGCCCAGTACATCAGATCGCAATTTTTAAAGTACAAAACGGGTTTCTAAAGTATTACTTATAAAAATGAGATATGGTATGTTTATGTCATTACTATGGAGCTGCCAAACAACTTTTTTCCGTAAATAGACTGGTGATTTCGTTACCGATATTGAATCAAACTATAGATTCTACTCGAGGTCCCAGATTCGATTACTAAATACTTTTAAAAATATCCCCGGAGACAACCGATTCCACATATTTAAAGGTAAATAAGGAAACCACCTGTATTTCGCTACAAAAAGAGAGTTACAAAAAAACATACGTAGATCAAACTTTAAATTATAAATGTTTGTAGACAGATAACATATTGTGTAGATGAAGAGAACCACATAAAACATCAACGAAGAACCATAATGAATATATAGCATAAAATAAGGCACCAATTTTGGTTACCGTAACATAACGTTAAAATAATTTCAACCTGACGTTGTTCACGTAAAACGGAACATACTTGTAGATAGCCGTGATAGATAGCTCACTGTCCGGGCGTTCGCTTTTAATTCCATATACGAATGATCGAGCAACCGACACACCTGAGTTCGATCCCCGGTGCCGGCACCAATGGATTTGTTAACTTTAAGTGCTGAATTATCACGTGCTCAGCGGTGAAGGAAAACATCGTGAGGAAACCTGCATATATTCGAAATTATAACAAAAAAATATAAATTCGAAGATATGTGAAGTCCACCAATCCGCAGTGGGCGGGTAGACTATGCCATGATACCCTCTGTATAGAGGAGGCATTTGCTCAGCAGTGGGACATTTATAGGCTGTTACTTTTGTAGTATAGTTAATTTAAAAACACAGTTAAAAGAATATCGTCCGATAAGACACGAAGTCCGGCAGCGCTTTCGAAACTCCTATTGTGTTGCCAACGACCATGGACAACCCTGTACCGTATGAGCCGCCGGTGGGTACTCAAGAAATAAAACAAGGGGGACTAAATTAAGACACAGTCTATTGGAATTGCACGGTGCCGGACGATCGAAAAGCGATAGTACACACGCGGAATGCGGCGATCGGGCCTTTGCACAACGGACGGCACGCGAACACAATTAACCGGCCTCTGGTGGCGTAACCGCATCGCAAGAATAATTTCTGATATGCTGAGCTAATACAATTGAAGGCTGACCAAAGGCTGGATATGAAAGCAATGCTGTTTCAAACGACAGGAATAATGAGCCATCTCTTAACCTTCTCTGGGAAACTAACCGCCGCAATGAAAGTCTACCCAAACACCCTGCTCATACACGTCCCACTAGTGGGTTAAACCCTCCTCAGTACGGACTCTAAAGCAAGCCTCGCCAACAAAGTACGCAAAACTGTATTTACATCATCAATACTGTCCATTACATTGTTATAGTCGCAGTGCAATTCTAAATCCTCAGAATCGCATTAGCTATTGGAAACAACGAGGTGAGTATACGGCATTTCAATGGTAACGGACAAATCCTATATTACGTCAAACTCGGGCGAGTGCGTGCACATAAATGGGATTGGGGTCGATGTGGTGTTACGTAGGTGTGGTTACATTTCAATGATCTCGAAAAGCCCATGCTAAGTCTTAAGACTACTTTCAAGTTAAAAAGTATCCAAGCAAACAACAAATATTATTAGTAATCTACTGCTATAGGATAATTTTATCATATACTAGCTGACTCGACAAACGTTGTTTTGCCATGTAATTTTTTCTAGAGGAAACGGAACGCACGCATAAAGTGTTTGACAGGTTATACGGACATAGTAGATAGGTTGACAGGTACAGTTTGTATGGGTAAATAAAATTGTTGCTATTTCAATTTTCCATAATTTCTCATCGTTTAAACCTTCCCTGGACTACCACAAATATTTCAAAACCAAAATTAGCCAAATCGGTCCAGCCGTTCTCGAGCTTTAGCGAGACTAACGAACAGCAATCCATTTTTATATATAAGAAGATTGTAGGAGAGTTTGATAAAGGCATAATAAAGAAGGTGAAATGAAAATTGTTCCTCCTATATGAGGAACAATTTTCCATAGAAGTATTTCAGTTTACAAAAAGATGTTTAATAATAGTTTTGACCAGTAATCGGTTCTATGGAG